CAAGATAGCTTCACATGTCATCTGCGACAAGCACTCGTCCGAAATCACTGGCTTGCCCTCAATCATCTCAAGAGTTCTCTTAGCTTCGTGTAGCGCACCCATATTCCTTACGGCTGTAAATCGGCGGTTCTCCTCTTCCACCTCCAGAAAAAAACCCATCATTATCTGTGGCCGTAACTTTGCCGCCCAGGTCTAGAACCTGCAGACTACCGCTCAGCGAATATCTTGGATCTCACCTGATCTCGTATGTTATGGCGATCTGAATGGCATCTCGATAAGCGCGAGGGATGGTCGCATCATCGATCCCTTCATACGCGAGTAGGTGTGATAGCCTCTGCTCTGAGTCGTCGGGCTCACCTAAGTTGCTAAGCCAAGAGCGTCGAAAGTCAGCGGAGAACAATTATGGTATGAGACCCTCCAACCCGCTCTTCAAGGTCTGGGGTGCCAACTGCTGAGGAAGGTGAAGGTAGATGCCAGTGTGCTGCATAGGTGAGGGAGTGCGCCATGGCCAAAGATCAGGCCAGAAGAAAGCACCAGCGTGATAATAGCGAGGGCACAGTTTCCCCTTGTCCGACTCCACGATTACGTGCGGCGACGTTGCTACTACTGCGTTCTGTTGGTGATGACATTGTTGGCGATTGGTGGGTCTTGTGTGATTTCTCGTAGGACAGGCAGTCGGTAATTACACCTTTGGTTGGGCGACTGAAGAGAGTGAAGCTGAGTTCGAGCGCCCTGAAACGGCACCGGAATCCCGAAAACTCGTAACACAGTACTTTGTTTGAGTCGGTAAGCATAAAACCCCAGCAGCCAGGCCCAAGAATTCTTATTCCAAATTAGAATCTTGGGTGTGACTACAGCGCTATTGGTGTAGTCGTTGACATCTGCCATTTGGTTGGGTTGGTGTTGATAAAAGAATAGTCTTGTTGGAGCCGCGATCTTGAAGATCAGGGGTATTTGTAGTGTTGGGTTAACCTTTCTTGGCCGAAAGATCGGAGACATCCTCTTATACACCTCTAAGGCCGGCCAAAGAGTCATCATCTAGGGTTTCCTCTTATCAGCTTTGTGCTGTAGAAATTGGTCAGACATCTTTAGTATAATATCTAAGTTGTGAGCGAGATGTGTTATTTGCGGTTCAGACTTGTGGCTGAGAGCTTAAACTAGCCGACAGAACTTGGTTATCTACCGCACAACTTGGACCGTACAGTTATGATAAAACGTAATAGAACAGTGAAAGAAAAGTCTACTGAGTGGCCACCCGTGCGATCATAGCGCTGATAACTTGAAAGGATACAAAGCCCAAAATTACCACTGAAGTACGAGACACGTTAAGCATAATCTTAAACACAAAACGCTTTCAAGGCTATCTCGATGCAAAAACATCACTATGGAAGGCTTTGGCGGGCCTTGGAGCTCTAGTCCTCCAGATGGACCAATGCCCCTGACGACTGTTGCTTGTGACAATTTCAACAAAATCAGGATCAAAAACCCCGACAAATGCATCCTCATCTCATCTTTTCAAGCTAGTCCCTCTGGATTTAGATGACCTCTGCGACCATCTCCATCCTTTGCATACTTTCAATCCAAAGTTCGACAGCCCAACTCAACTTAAATTCTTTTCCAAGGCTCTGCCTAAATCCATATCAATTCAATATCCAAGTTTCTAATACCATATTCCGCACAAAATCTTGAGGTATACTGGAAAAGACTGTCATAGAACAACTGAAAAATTATTCCCTGACACGGTTGAAGCTTTTCTCGTTGACTCGGGTATGCAGCCGAATTTTGAAGATATGTCCTTTGTATTGTAAATCCAATTCATTCAAACTATTTAAGGAAAGTGACGACGCACATGTCAACTCTTCAATATCAATCACCGGAACTTCTGCATTCTGTAGAGTTGGGTAGCCGTGGGTCTCGATGATCCACTCGATATCAAGTTTTAGATCCTTGTGGCGGTCTTGACTCCCAGCATGAGAAACCGAGTATTCGATGTAAAGCTTCAATGGGCCAATAAGGATACACAAGGCATTATCTGAAGGGATGCAACCAGAGACTATGTTACCGCATCGAACCGCTTGTTTCTGATGAGTATCGCTTTCTTTGCTGGAAGACGATGATGCTTGACTCTGACCCTCAGTTGGAGTTGGTGGTTTGATTTCCGCGATCCATGTTTCAACACCACCAGAGGTAGAACATTCTGGAAAGTCTCCGTCATGCTGCGAGTATACATTCGGGAGAGCGGCTGTAATCTGATTTACTTTCTCATCGACCGTTCTTTCACGAGGTGCGGATTTAGTGTCATTGACCCCATCCACAGTGTTGGGGCTGATTAAGGACGGAACTAAAGTCGAAACCGACCGGCTCATTGTCAAAATTGTACTTTCTCGAGGGTCTGGTAGCCTGAACTTTATCTTCTTTCTCAGCAATTCCCTAATGCTGCTTCTGACCTGTTCCTCTAAGGCATGACTAAGATTCCTTAGTGTTTGGTCTTGCTCAGATACTGTTGGTAAACGCCAGCCAGGGTATAGTCTTCCATGGCATTTTGGGCTGTGGAGCTTCGTGATGGCGGTGATGAAAAGGTCGCAAAGATAGCAAGCATCCTTATTTGAACAAACGACGCGAGGTGGCCGCGCTAGGCAGAGTCTTTCGACATGATAGAATAATTGTACTTCTGAGTGAATTTTTGCTCCCTGGAGAGCTTGCCAGACATGCTTGGAGAACAGGTTTTCAGCCTCCTCCTTGCCGAGCCGCAGCAATTGGTAAATTCTGTCAGGATTGACAGAAATTTTGTGTTTATTAACGATCCAGTGTAACGTCGCGGATAAAGAGGGCGAATATTCCTCGATTTTTGCTTGAGAAAACATTTGTGGTTCAAGGGTGACAGGGACAACTTCTGCTCTTCGGAGGACCGGAAAACGCCTGGCCATACGATAAAGACGTCTAGCAGCCTCCTTATATCTGGCCACTTTGCAGATGATGTTATACAGACTTGATCTCAGGTTGGGGTGCATGAGATTATTTGGTATGCAATTGAGAAGGTCGCTAAGCCAGTGAACCCTCCATAACTTATGAAAACCTTCCACAAGTTCTCGGAGCCGAACGACAGTTTGGTGCTTGGTCCAGGCGACGATGAGCTTAATAGCTTCATTCGCTTTGGTTTCGAATAACGCTGCGGAATCCACCAATTCGCTTCGGCTCAATATCCTTCCGCGTACGTTTCTTAAAGAAACCACAGCCAGCTTTAAGGTTTCGACAATTGGTTTTTTCATCTTTTGTTTGTGGTTCGATCGAAGATTCAGCCGACCAAGGATGCGTTCTGCACACATACCTATGATCGTAGCAAAGACATTTTCAACCGTGCCATCGTCACCGTCTGCTATTTAGCTGTTAGCATATGATACTTTCCATAGTAACGTGGCGGAAACCAGTTAATCGACCGAGGCTATGGGTGGTCTATTATACGTACTCTCTGTGAATCGCAAAAGTGATGCAAGTATCTTGCTCAACGCGTGGGTCACTTCCATGAGATGGACGTTACTGTCATTGTGACTGCTCTTATTCACTGCTATATGCACTTTCAGAGGTTGATTATCTAGAGTACTCTCGATGCATAAGGCAGGGATTCGATTCGGATCATCCCGAATGCCAGAAAGGAAAGCTAGAGTACTCGCAAGTCCCCGCTCCTTTTTAAACGGCAAGCATCATATTATGGTGTACTCAAGCATGTGAACCTGAAATGTGTCGTATTTCAACTTCCGCCCAATCGAATTTCCCTATTGTTCCCTATGTCTCTCCACTTGCTCTTGCATATGGAAGCACCTTTGCTTCGCCATGATAAAGATGCAGCAGGATATAACCTATGGATATGCAAGTTCTGCCGACAGTCTTTTTCATGAGCTTCTATCCTGAGCCTGATCAGTGCGGCGTTTGAGTATCAGCACTAAAGTGACTTGGGAGCTAGCCTAGATTAGGCGTCAAGGCAGCCTTACAGGGTACGTCAAGACTGATGTCTCTCAAACCCCGCTCTGTTCGTATGCTGTAGATGCGGAGGTATTGCGATATTATTTTAATTGAAAATGTTCTGTCGGGCTTCATGTTGTGCAATGTTGAATCAACAAACAAGTGAAGCGGCAAGAGGCGGGGTTCGAATGGTCTTCTGGAGGAAAGAGAAGAGTGGCAGCAGTATGCCGCATTACAGCTCAAAATAAGGCAACCTACTCCAACACGGCCATGTCGGCCGCATGAAAACACGGCCGGTTACACAGCTTGGCGATAATGTGACTTCTGCTATTCTGTGCTTTCTCAACCATTCACTCTTTTCGAGATTTAAGTATCCTGGGCCCGACTGAGGATTAGAACTAATTTCATTCCAATTCTTCGAGCATCTAGGCTCGAACAGTTGTCACCCTCGCTGAGTCCCGAGTTGGCAACCGCGATCGTCAGTTTTTCTTCTTATCATCTTTTCATCGTGTCACGAGACATCGCTTCGGACAAGATGACCTTCCGCTGCCATTTGGGGACCCACGCAGACAATTCCAACATCCTTATTCGTAGCTTACAGAAATGTCATCATGTATCAAGAAACTTACAAATATAGAACATTTATAAGACGCTGATACCCGGCCCATCCACGACAATGTTGATACTCTGAACGCTTTGTCTGCGAATGAGGTTGAGATAACTCTAACTGAACTTGTAACCTCTAATATATACGGAAAGCTCTGCTGAAGGCATTTATGAAATCTCTAACTAACATGTTAATAAGTTCCAGCTATTTCCATTTGACGCATCCGATTTACTTGCCCATTTTGGGAATGAATCTTTTGATCTCATAGAGGCAAATCTCCGCCGTGGACTAAACTTATGCTAGCTCCATTCAACTTGGATATTGGCTCTAAAAAGGTCTCTAATATCTCTGAGAGTGGGTATCCTCGTTGCCCATCGCACAATCGGCCTAATGCCCCAATTGCTTTATCAATCCTCACGCAACTCTCATGACGTTATTCAGGAATGTTGTCGATGTGAATATGACCGATGCATATCAACGGGCCGATGCAACTGTGCAAAGCCCGCCAACTAAGCGTTTTCTCAAATACCTCCCGCCTGATTACTCCCCAACCGGCCACTATGATCCCAGCGTCATCAAGTTTTCGTATGCTCTTGCTTGTGTTAGGGCCTACAACCATATATTTGATAGGTGAGTAGTAAGGGCCCTTGTCCTCCTGGATGGATTCAATAACGTCCATTTTGATTATGCCAGAAGGGTCGTAAGAATGTTTCAATTTTTTCGCTTCCCCAATCCCCGAGGGTGGAGATGAAAGAACAGCATAATATCGTTGCAAAATAGCTTTTCAGCCTAATGCGCGAGCTTGACAGAAGACGTAATGGAGGAATTTGATTTCATGATGATAGAAGGTATGAGCGGAAAGGCACGTTACATGGCATGGAAGAGAGTTTCGATGTAGCACAAGAGGTTGGAAGGCAGAAGACATACTAAATTTTGGTAGAATATGGATAACATTCCATTCTTCACTTACTTGCACATTGCCCTCAAGACTCCGTTGAGCAAAAATGGGTAATTCGCTTGTTGCTGCATCACGGAGACCCTGCAGAAAGACCTCGAAACCTTCCGGACTGCCCTGTTGCCAGTCGGACAAACTATTCTTGAGGTTCCTCAGATCGGCAGCCGTAGCTCCTGTAATCCGAACAAGGACCGCTTTTGAGCTAGTGCTCTCATCCAGCATCCCGGCCACAATGTCCCGCTTCGACAAGGAAGGGTCGGGATAAACACCAATCTTTGCGCAATTTTCCACGATCGTCTCGTATGACTTCTCGACCTCAGCATCGGTGATTTCCCTGAGGCCTGACCATCTGCCTGCGCTCCATCGTCCTGCAAATCCTCCACCCAAACCTCCGACCAGACGTCCTAGTAACCCGCCGATCGGACCGCCAACAGCGGTGCCAGCCTCCCCACCCTCCCGCGGAACTGACCATGCTAAGGCCAGTGTTTTTTCCGAACCGTGACCAGTCCCCTGTAGGTGCAAGGCTGGCCATGTTGAATAGCGAGCCGACAATAACCCCCACGACGGCGCCGTGACCGAAAATCCGATGATCAATTTGATATGAGCAAGCTGAAACCGCGCTACCGTATGCGCCGCTGATGCATAGCTTGAGGAAGTAGTTCCGGAAGTCTGCATCAAAGAGGGTTTTGATGTCAAACAAAGCTGTTTCTGCCATATTAATGCCTGCTGCGTTAACAGCATTGCGCACGAATGTCGTCCTCATGAAACTATCTGCATTCATGTCTGCCGTTGTCTTGGGGATGCCGATCTTTTGAGATGCTTTGAGAATAGCTTTGTGATACTTTGAAGATTTGTCAAGGAGCTCACTTTCCAGGGCACCCAGCTCTCGGTTGTTCAGTTTGTGCATATGCAAAACTCCCTTCCACGCCTTCGCACCGTCTCCATAGGCTTCAAAAGGCTCAAAGACCGCTGCGCCTGTCCCAAACTGCAATGCCATGTCCACTTCTCGGTTGGCTCCGTGTCCTAGAAAGGTGGGAGCTACCAGCTGGTGAAAATGAACTCGGTGCTCCTGTTGCCATCGGTTATTTACCGTCTGGACATGTTTTGCACTTAATGGAGGACTTGGTTTGCTGAGCATCATCGTAAGACTGATAGTCTCCTGATTGACTTGCATGACAGATTGGATCTGTTCCACCGTGAGTCTGGACAACAGCGTCATCGCCTCCTGGAGCTGCTCCTTGCTCATTTTGTATTGTAAAGAAGAAAAAGAAAAACGATAGAAAAGCAAGTGGAATCTTTTGGGTTTGAAGAGCGCATTACGCCGTAGGATTCTGAAGCAAAAGAGAAAAGAGGTAGTTTATCGTGGCAGGTAGTCATCCACTTGATGATTGGCCTGAGCTCCCATTTGGGCATCAATGCTTCGTGCCTGTGCGCATATCTGATTGGGTGGCTGGTCGTTAGACATTGACGCAGGCAGGAGGCCGACCAAGCGGGGTAGGTTGTCTGCTGTCCTCGGTGTGAGGTATGTAGGTTTTGGTTTGAATAATATTTGGTAACAAGGAGCCAGCGAACCAGGCAGATCAATCGCACAATTATAGGCGATAGCTGATGGGCGGAGTAGCCGGTTCAATTGGCGGAATTAAATATCCACTCGTGCGCTTGGTATTTGCGGTTGGACTTTTATCAGGATAATGTGGTTACAGCCAATGAGCAAAGGTGTAAATCGTTAACGATCATGAATGAAACCCCCCTGAGACTGTAAACGTATATCACTGGATGAGCCGATTCAGTGTAGACTCCAGTGTTCCTCGACATGAGCATCCAATCAGTTATACCAACGGTGATATTAGGTAAACGAAAAAATTAAGGGGCTCCTTCTCGAATGTACATGCCTTTACAAGTTATCTCTGGCAAAGTATGAGCCCTCTGTTGGGGCCTCAATCACCGCTGCCAATATACTAGGGATGTTCAAAGATACAGATATGAACTGCTTCCAGTATGTTTGGGAGAGGAAAACATAGTCTTTGCAAAACTCAGGTGCCGGTTGCATATCGCACCCTCGGTCTTATGCGAAAGTCTGAAGCCCCTTGCGATCACTTACGGTCATGGGGACTGAGAGCGCTTACATGGTCTATCAATACTCGGGGCTGCACGCATACTGCCTCTTCTTATCCTAGATAGAGGGCACCATTTGATGCGCTTTAAGCAAAGAAGAGATAGGTAAAAATGGAAAGCAAAAAAGAAAAAGAAGGAAAAGGCAAGCAAAGTGCCGCGCGGGAAAAATCAATTCATGGCCGAAAACCCTGTCCCGTTAACTGATTCTTGTAATACTTAACTTGCGCCATGAGGGGAAGCATAAAAGGCGCACCAATTAACCAAGTTGTAGGGCTCTCACCTCACTGTGAATACAACCCTCCTTCTCACATTCTAAATTCGATTGATCCATTCTAACTGTCGACTATGGGAAGGTTGCATAGCCTGGGGGACCGATATAAATTTTGTCTTTACTGAACTTATCGCGCTAGTCAAGAGGCCTTGGACCATCGGTTTCCCACTGTACACTAGTCTTCCTACTCAGGTAACAGCCCTTGTTCGAAATAGGAGCAATGTCTCGAGTATCCACCACCTTGTTGTTAGAGATGCTTGTATCGTGCACAGGAGTCTAAAGGAATGGAGCCTGACTTGTGACGGAAGGCGGATAATAACCCTGCGCCTCGTACTCTGGTTCTATGAGGTCCTCGTGATACACCAACTGCTCCACGGCCAGGTAATCGACGAGGATCCGGGACTTGAGCCACTCAGAAACAAAGTTAGCTTTATTGCCGTCCCGGCTAGTAGCGATAGGCACGAGTTTCCGGGTGGTATTCCTCCTGCTCGCACCTGTGGAAATGGGATTGGCGCCATTCTGTACATGTTGCTGGCGTCGATTAGTTCGATCTTCTTCGAGTTGACGAGAGACAGGAAGATTGTAAAGATAAGGATCGAGAGCCTTGACGAGTGAGAGGTGAGAAAAGATGGTAAGAGAAAGAAATATTATCATCAGAAAAGCAGGTCCTGCGGCTTTGGAAACGATGAACATTCCAACGAGGCACATCTCGGCTACGTAAACGCCAAATAAAAGCTGTTTCAGAGCCCGAGGATAGATCAAACCATCGGTGTCGACAGTGGTATCTGCAACATACAGTACATTGTAACGGTACGCGAGATAGAACAAACCCATGCTGATAGTCGACCAGAATAGAAGAAAGGGGGCGATAACAGAATAAATAATACCTGAAAGAAAGTTAGCTGAAGTAAGCCGTAACATCTAATTCGTTTCTCACTAATGACAGCCATGTTGGTGTAAATAGGCATGAGGCTCCCGAAAGAAATAGTACTGAGTGCCGTCCCCTTGCCGCACATAGTTCGTGGAGTCATGTTGGTGAATCTGGATGAAAGTGTGAACATGACGAATTCAAAAACCTGAGTCACTACGCCGGTGGCGATGGTGAGACCTTGAACAATGAAAAACGAAATGTAAAAGTTGGAAGCGGTAGGGATCGAAGATGAAAGCATGCCAAAGACGTCGTTGGGATTCCGAAGGAGCGTCACAAGAGATGAAACGAAACTGTTGGAAAGCGTCTGGACCAGGAATACTTGGAGGACTTGAAAGATGAAGTAGGCGTTCTGGGTGAAGAGCTCGGCTTGTGACGCTGAAACACAGCCAGACCACCTGGCACAGGTACGTATGAACACTGGCACTGATGACATCAGAATAGATAGCGCGATGGAAGGTAGCAAGCCAGAAACAGCACCAAGGATAACCTAAACGGTCGGATTAACACAAGGATAGAAAGAAAGACGTCTGCCAGATTTACCTGTGGAATGTTCTGTATCCATGTTAAGCCTGGTAGCCATTTGATGGTATTTACTTGGGCAATGATACCAACAATAGTCACAGGAAGAGCCCAAAATACAACAAGAACAGTAATTGCAGTGTAAATGACATATCGCCGTATTGCAACCTGCCACCATGGATAGCTAAGGTTCTTCCAGATGACTTCGTTTGGCTTTATGCCGATGAATCGGGGAGACATTTGAAGCGGGCAGTGGTGTGTCGTGGTTTGACAAGCAACCTGCGCATCGTGTTGAGTAGAGAACTCGACGAAAAAAGCAGTGTGTTTCTCATAATCCCCAGTGAGCCAGTTATACTGAGCGCTCTGGGCTTCGGGGATGAGGTCCTTGAGTTTTTCTCGACACCATTGGATGGTATCGACTTTTTCGCCGATAAGCCCTGAAGGGCCTGTTCGGTGGGTTGGTCGCTTTCCAGATTCAGGATTGGATGTGCTGGTAGTTACCTTGTCAGTCTCATGACCAGTCTTCAATTCATATTTGCGCTCCTTGTGACGCAGTTTGATCCACTCAGTTTCCCCTCTCTCAAGCTTCTTAACCACGTCGTCTCGCTCTTGGATGATCTTATCTAGCTGTTTGGTGTCTCCAGCGATCCAAACATTCTTGACAGAGTTGAATAGGCTACGTATATGGTCCTCGTTGAGACACTCCTTGGGCACTGAAGTAAACAAGACAGTACGGGACGAGATGCGCTTAGCATGTCGTGGGGTCAGCAAAAAGGCTTGCCGCAGGTTTATGTAGAAATGTAACTCGCGGATAATGGCGTACATCACGAAGGTATATACGACCCAGGCCACAAAACAATGGGCGTACAATCTGTTCCTCTTGGCTGAGTCTTCAATGTTAATATTGCTGTAGGAAAGGATCTCAAGTTGCTTCTTCCCATTACCGCCTGTGGCATTAAGTGGAAAGAGAACTGGCCATGTAACGCAGAGGGTAAAAAGACAGAGGGTGCAACAAACACGAAGGAATCTTATAAAAAGGTATGAATCTAGACTTTGACGCCGGAGGGCATACGCATCTGGTACTTGCCAGAAAGCTTTTATCCAAGAGAAGAATCCGTTGGGCAGCGCGGGACTGCGTTCACTGAGATATTGTGAGAATCAATGTTCAAGATGACAAGGCTGTCTCACGACGTACTACTCCCGCAAAGTGCCTGGACATGTTCGAGGTGCGTAGAAACGCGGATTCGAAGTACGGAGGATGAGGAACACAATAATATAGATCGTCGAAGTGGCAAAAACCGGTACTAGAGTAGAGACCATACCTAACTTTTTCTTAGTCTTGCTTTACATAGTAAGAGTAGACCAAATTGCAAAACATCAGCCGCCAACTAGCCTCCTTAATTCATGCTGTGACATACCCATTAGGGACATAGGCTCCGCATTACTTGCTACACCCTGGTTAGGGTCAGTCAAGTTGTTCTCTAGGAATTTGATGAGGCTTTCCATTCCAATGCTGTCCACGGACATTTGATTTCATGTGGACAGTCAACAAACATCCGGAAAGCAAAGATCGCCGTACTTATTGCTGAACCCCAGTACTTTGGTTAGAGGATGCTAAGCTAGAATCGTATACTCTATTCTAGAAAATGCGGAGAAAGGTATATATAGAACCTTTGTACTAAAGGGCTTCATGGCTTTACACAACGTTGGGACGCCTAAGAATAAGACGAAAACTATCCCGTATCCTCTATTCCTTTTCCTACTTAGATTTAATTAGGCTCATCAATCCTTGTTCTACAAACCAACCACTCGTCCACCAGTCGAGGAGTCAACTAGTGATGTTCTACTCATTGTCTCCTCCGTTTCTTTAAAGGTCTGAAGATTCATCCCCATTCATTTCCCGTTAATAATATCAACTCTGAAAGAGATGCGCTCCGCAGGCTATATCGCGATCTTAGGTGCCGCCGCCGCCATAGCCGTTCCCCACAATAGCAACTTCTGGAATGACAACAAGCGTTACGAAATAGTTACGAAGTTCGAATACGTCACACACTATCTGACCGGTGGTGGAAATGATGCTCCCGAGACTAGCTGCATTTCTCAGCCTCAGGAATCCAATTTTGAGAAGCAGCCTGACGTTTCAGGAGAACACATTACCACTGCCATCTACACCACAAACGTCCAGCCCGTCAAGAGGCCAAAGCATGCCCCCAACCAAGATTCTGTTTCCGACTTTGGTCCCAGCGACGGTCTCTCTGCCGATCAGCAAGAGGCCGTTAACCTCCACAACGAGGCTCGTAAAGCCGTGGGCAACAGCCCTCTTTCTTGGGATGACTCACTCGCCGTGGGCGCCCAGGAGTGGGCCGATCATCTCGCTTCCATAGGCTTTCTCCAGCATTCGAAAGGTGACCACGGTGAGAATCTCTACATGGGTACTACTGTTAGTCCTTACTCCGTCTCCACCAAGGCCTTCCTAGCCGAGAAAAGCCAATACAATGGTGAGGCCATATCAGGCTCCAACTACCTGAATTTTGGACATTACACCCAGTGCGTCTGGAAGGACACCACTAAAATCGGCATGGCTGTCTCCAAGGACAGCAGAGGCGTCTCCTGGGTCGTCTCCCACTACCAAAGGCCTGGTAACATGCAAGTCCCCTAGAAACCTATTTGCATCCAACGCTCGCTAATAATCCTCCAGTATCGGTGAAAAGCCCTACTAAAGCACAAATACCGGTATGGCAGGATGTTTCAATCTAAACACCGCCAATGACTGAGTTCTGGCCCAGGAATTGAAGGTTGGACTTCATCGTCGTTAGCACTGAAATGTAGCGTTAGGTCCATCCTTCGAACACTCCCGCATGAGATTATGTATTCAGCCAGCTATATCTGCAGACATGTAGCCTTCGTTTGTCTTCATCCGTTAGACTTTTGCTTACTGGCACGATACCCTGACTGAAACTGTCTGTCCTGTGAGCCTGTGTGAATGTTTGCCAAGTACCACCATAGGAACAAAGATGTCACAACTGAAGTAATTTCTGAATGAAATATCCTCTGGACCGCCTCCAGCTATTGCTGAAAATTTGATGATAAAATTTGAAAACTTGTTGCGACCAGTCGTGAGACCCGAGATGGAGCCATACGTGTTGATCAGGCTTCAGAGCGTCCACGCCTCGGGAAAATACAGAAAGTCTGTGGGTCAGTGTCGTCCTACAAAATGTAGAAATAAAAGAAAACGTGGACACACGAAGGCGATGGGCCAGAATGAAACGTGACAGTTCGAAGGGTTTACGTAAAGAAAATAACCCTAGTCATAGAGAGTCTTAAATTGTTTGTCGTGGCATGTCATCTGCGTGAAAACCCTTCATTGATGGCGTGAAAAGAAAGAAATCTGTTCAAGAGACATAATAAACACCAGCTCAGAAAAACCCCAATACACAAAGACGAGATGGACCTATTTTTGCAGCTAGTGGCTGAACCGTCAAGAGAACGTGGTTGAGGCTGGTCGGTGCAAAGAAGAATATGCAGGAACTCTGTAGGTAATGGAAGGATCTATTTTCGATACTGCATGTAGATACAGACTTTGACAAGAACACTTGGCTCAAGTACACGATTACCAAACGGCAGTGCTGAGGGAGGGCCGGAAATAGTCTATTCCCCCCTTAGATGGGAATACCAGCCAATCGTAGGGTTAGGAATTACTCACATAATCTCCTACGTCGGCTGATTCTCGCAGTGAAGATTGTAAGCCGTTCTACTAAGGGCTACTGATGACAAATGGGTTGCATTAGCCTATATAGAATCTGCAAGTCAATCGTTTACTACAGTCCAGAAACAAAATATTTGTTGAGCCTTTGTTTCTCAAATTCGAGTCTGCAGCGGTACGAAACAACATTGAAGCCGCATTAATATCATCGTCCTGATCTAAGATAAGACAGATTGACCGGAGAGGTTCGTTTGTAAAACACGCTATCTTTCTTTCCTCTTCTCCAGTAAAAGAAGCAGCTTTTTCTAGAGTTGGGAAATCCTGGAAGACCAATGGACAGTCGCCTCTTGGGTAGCTATACCGGCCTTGCGCCATGCAAGTGTCTCGTTCTTATGGGTTACCGTAAGGTACGGAAGATCATCAATGTATCACACGGAGTCGATAGACGTGAATACTTCTTCGACGATTGAGACTCTCAGAAAAGCTTCCTCAGTTGTATTAAGTTTTCTGACTGCTATTCTGTTCTTACCAGTATAGTATGTTTATCACTTGGGCGCTGTGCGGCGATTCAGTTCAACGCGACCAGGGCTTTGACAAAAATATAGACCCTTCTCGCATCAGGGGAGGTTGCTTGATCGACATGTCGTTGTTCGGAATCATCAGGCTTTTAGGTAAATACCTCTTCTGGGTGACAGTCTGGACAGGTCATCGGTGAGCCAAGCTCCTTTCAACCTCATATTCTTCCCTTACCTTACTACATTAGCACTGTCAGTGCTCAGTATGTTGAACGGCGTTATCAGCTTGTATTGATATTTCTGGAACAGATATAGATACGGTATTACTCGAAGAGTGGTCAAGAAGAATGATAAGAGAATAATGGATTCAACTGATGATGATGATTGATGACGAAAGCACCATATGTCTTGTACTGTACAATCGAATCTACTGGGCCGAACCAAATACCAAAAAAAACCAGCTTTTTACTTCTGACATCCTGATGTCCTACGGAACTAGCTTCACAATAAGTCTTATGATATTTTTGGTAGAAATTGCTTCATTGAACTTATTTTTCATCCACCGCTATACTTCTCCTCATTGAAGTGGTCACCTGCGGCGAGGTCTGTGTGCACTAAATAGAGATAAGAGATGAGGATACGGAGTAAGAATATACGCGTCGTGCCCGGAAACTATTCTGCGCTACTCGCGGCGACAATTCCCTCCATGCTAACGTGAATGACCGGGAGTTCTTGAGCTGTGCTGCTAGCTGCATATAAAAGTCGGTGCATGGGTCAGCTCGACATCTGTTTTAGATTGCAGAAGATTTCGTGGCAACCGTCTGCATCATCAGAATGCCGACCTATCTCTCTGACGTGGCCGGCGAGATCCGCAATAAGGTTTGTGAGGAACTTGTATCAGCCTCCGAACGTATCATTATTGAATCAGGACCGCGGCCGCCGCATCTCTATATGGTTACCGCATCACACCTATATTCTTCGATTGTTCTCGTGAATATAGGAACAAACCGGGAAGCAAGCCCTGACTTTACTCGAGCAATCAAGTTGGGTTCGATATAGATTAGCCAGGAAGCATGGAAGGGCATCAAAGAAAGGGTTTGATCTTCTCATATATTAGCCAAATCGGACTCCAGAACGCAGACTTTCTTCGTCACCTCTGCATTCCATTCTCGGCTTCCGGCAATCAATACTCCCCAAGCATAGTGCTTGAAGAAAACAACATGTCCATTCTGAAACTCATTCTGGATAAATATACCGGGATCACTACTCTCAGTTCTGTGTTCGAGACGATCAGCACCGAGATGCTAGCAGTTATATATACGTCCTTCAGTTCTATGCTAACGTTGAATCGATCACTTATGATGGGCTGCCCAGCCACGAGTTGATAGAGAAGATATGCAACTAGGGTTGGACAGTCGACTATAACTATGAGAGCGATGATGATGAAAGATATTACTGGAGGGGATACGATTCTCATTCTTTGTATGACACCGATTGAAATATCCCGCACACAGTCTGACTGAGCAACCTTATCTTTGATTGCTTCTTATGAAATAGTGTCACAGGATATACCGGCTGACCTAGTCTTGATTGTAAACCAACCTACCCAAAAATACTGAGGCCAGTAACTTAGAGTAATGATTCGACGAATCTCCAGCCAGAATCTAATAATTGAAACAGCCGAGGACACTTACAAACCTACGGTTTGCAAACACATTCCTACTGCCAATCAAGCACTTATCAACGTTTACTTGCAAGTTTGTAAGATCCCACGTTCCTAGCATTGCCGGGAAATCTGAAGATAACTGGTGGTTCGAATCCTACAGATCCCAATAACTGTGATCGGCAGTGTATAAGAAGCGTCTTACTCGACCGCCATAGCACACGGTTTGAGAAAATATGTAAAGATTAATGGTTAGAGCTATTCGAAGACTAGTCAAGTTTATATTTCTTCTTCGAGATCTGTTGTCGCTAGTTTCCTTTTTATGTATTCCTGAGCCACTCTGGCTACTTCTTGAATACTCTTGATGTTTTCGTACTTCCCTATTAGCTTAAAACCCCTCCATTTCACGACCTTATGGTCATATCTTTCAAATCGCCATTTTCGGTATGTCGTGAAACGGATGTACACATCAGCGACTCTCTCTTTGCAGGACCCAACTCTGGTCCGGACGTTGTTGAACGGCTTTTGCTTGGACCCCTTGCGCCTCTGGTCACTCTTCGCGTTCTAAAGCATTTGTCAGTCCGCATACTGTTGGTCTGCATATGGTGGACAACCTACTGCTTTAGAGTGAACCATGGCATTAAATCGTATTTAGCAGTGCTTCTGTTATATCGGCAAGGAATACACGATTTGTGGTTAATAAGTGTTGTCCTACTTGACAATTTCTTAAGTTGTAGTTAAACGAGGACTTGCGGACTTAGGCTGCCTGGACGTGGAGCTAATTCTTGATGCCTAATGCCTAAGGCATCACCATATTACAAGCACGTCCCACTCATAATACAGGCTGCGGTGATTACAAGTTATTTTAGGCGGGTGTTGTATAAACCCCAGATCCTCTAATGTCAAAGGTTTTGACAGCATAAAAGGTGAACAATAGATGAATCCCGGAATTTACAGTTGTGAAGCATCTCATCAAATACCTGATTCGTCCATTAGAAGTTTATTCTGGCAGCCCAAAGCATCCAGCAGGCCTACCCCGCAGCTCTAATTTACACAGAAATCGTACCCCCACTGAAAGTTTGGATGCTCCTGTGTAGTGCAAACGGAGTTTTGAGGAAAACCGATATCCCTTAGCTATTCGACCGTCACTTTGAAAACACCTTCAAGACCGCATCATTGCCACATGGATTGCATGGTGTTGCGGATTGGGAATCCTAGGTTGCTTTATGCGTTTCTGGGGGGGCAGATGCTAGATGGCAGGATACATCTTGGTATGACATTGGCGAAGTGGGGCGTTACGGACGAACATTCAGCCGTGAGAGCTTGGCGGGAACAGAACCTGAACCTGATCGTTCTGAGGACCATCCTCCCTTTGAACCACGAAATCCGGTCAATCGTTGCTTGGAAGGCGAGGCATAGTTCAACAACACTGCGGCCTCATATCCGCTTCTCCAGAACTTACATCATCTTAGCGGCCCATCCGCCCCGACACCTGATGAACTGCTAAGAGGTCCAAAGGACACCCCCTCAGCCACTAACGGCCTTTCCCGGCTCCGCCAGTCGAGTGCTGAGTAAAAGTTCAACAACAGATATCACTGGGTGGGAGAGACCGAGAAGTAAACGGATGCGACGACGCAACGAACAGAGCTCCCGTCAGATATGCCACAACTGGGAGGTACTCGGGAAGAAGAGAACAATGAGACGACGGTAAAAATGTTCTGCACACCATCAAGCTCACCTTTTTCGTCACCAAGACGCTTCTTCACGCCTTCTGGATCTTTCGCACTACAAAAACTCGCTGAGCATCGAAGTCGTCGCGCAGAATCGTAGAGATAAATAGTAGAGAAGGATCGCAAGCGTGTGGAGACAGGCATGATAAACCAAGCAATAGTTGAGAGCCTCAAGACCACCACTATAACTCAAGCCTGCACAACCGTACAAAACATGGATCAGCCAAAGCCGCTTTCATCACTAAAAGACTCTCTACCGCATGGCGAGAAAGACAACTCCTCATCATATGTCCCTCAGGAGGTCGCCGGTCCTGCTGGATCAGAGGATTCAGATGAAGACGCCCGGTTAGACGAGCTGCCCCATGAAGAGCTGATTAACAACGGTATGACCTTTTTCATCTAGAAAGGCTTCCCGTGGAGCCACTCTCATGGAGGGACGGTACGGAGTGAATGGATCATGCGATGTTCTTTCAGTGGGATGGTTTTTAAATACATATTCAAGGGCATAGCCGTGGAGTATCTATGAAGAATTGAGTAGCTGCCACGATCATTCGAGGTCACTCATCTAAGCAATAATGGCCCTAGGTCTATCTTCTTAGAGATTATTGACGGCGTTGCAGCCTTGATATTTGCAAATACCGACATGGCTGAGAGTAGGACCTAATGCTCCACTATGCAGCAGCTATTTTCTCCAGGCCTCAGAAAAGAGAGAAGAAGCAAGAGAAATATCAGTTCTCGGCCATACTTTCTCATCTAAATTATGGTGAAATGGCAACATCATCGCAATTGGAACTGGTAGTACAGTTGGTGTTAGGACAAAACTCCACACGGCCGATTGATATCTTTATTTTCACCGATAACCGCCATTGGTTTCACACGTATTCCTTATGATCCGTGAGAAGACTCACATGCTGTTTCTGATACAGTGATCGATCTCTGGCTTTCTTCAAATATGCTTCCGTTTATATTTTTCTGGCGAGAATTTTCATTGTTTTATCATGACAATCTGGCTGCGAGTCAACATTGTCTATCTTCAAGGTGAACACCATGAGGTTGCAATGCCGGATCCAGATGGCAATCAGAAAGCGATTTGGCAAGCCAATCGCGTAGTGTGCTTAGGTAATTATCTTGATTTGGCTACGGCTCGCCGCTTAAAATCTTTACCCCGAGACTAGATTTCCCTTTCTTCAAGCTGTTATTACGACAATTCTGCTACAGGCAACCACCTAGCTTCTCCCATCATGCAATCCTATATCCAAGTTAAGTACTTTGAGTTATTACGTATACTAGCCGGTTCCCTTATCTGTCTGGATTGCTTATGATGCATGTTAACAAGATTGGGTTTTAAAAAAGAAGTGCTTCTAAGATCGGATGCTACTATTCACTAGCCATCTAAAATACACTTCTATGAATAGTTGCCATATCTGACCGGAGACTATCCCATAACGTGATATAAAATCACTCAATATTCTTCGAAAAACATGACAGTACAACACACACGATGGAATTGTTTGTACTTATCGAACTTGGATACCATTGGTTGAACGATGCTCTTCAGGATTACATCGCCTCTGCGTACGAATGTACTTTTGTAAAGCATACAGACGAACTGCCTAAAGAAGAACATTTGCTTCTTATCTTTTCTCATACGCAGACAGAGAAGCCTATGGTCATACCGACTAATGCAAAAGCTTTATTTAGCATGTATCCATTGACAGATGCTTTAACCCGCAAAGACTGTTTGTCAATGGTAGTCGAGTACTGGGCTGCTAAGAGACCTGGAAGCGTACTATCAGGCTGCATGCCTGCAACGGTCTCCTTTGAGATCGATTACGCTGAATACCTAGACGAAGCCCTCGAAGAATCAGACTCTTATGTGCTTCGCACGTCATTATCCCACAACACTGGACTTGTGCCGAGAGATCGGCAGTGGTGGATCTTGAAACCTGCAATGACTGCACGCGGGGATGGCATTAGACTCTTCAGCGATGAAACCCAACTAAGAGAGAGTTTTGAATCTGTTGAAGACGATGACGACGAAATCTCAGAAGATGGAAAGGCCAAGTTTTCTAACCACGCACTAGCAAGTGGAACAGTACCCTCATCCTGCCTGCGACATTTCATCGCACAGAGGTATATAAGTAATATTCCCCGATTGGACAACAGGAAATTTCATATACGAGCTTACGTTCTTGCCGTTGGTCGATTGCAAATCTATTTGTACCAAGAACTGCTGGTCATTTCAGCATCAGAGCCTTATTGCCCTCCCTGGGAGTCTACAAGCAGAGGATCAGCACTCACCAATACACATTTACACGGCACATTTTGCTCAGAGTCAGCGAGGCGAGGTTTCTGGACACTACCTGATGATCTCTTCGGACAGGACGGGTCATGGAAAGACCGAGCTTACTTTCGTATACAACAAATTACTGGAGAATGTTTCTTGGCAGCAGCGACTATGAATACTAACATCGCTCTTCATCCCGATTGCTTCGAGATCTTCGCTCTGGATTTTCTGATAGATCAAGACGAGCATGTGTGGTTGATGGAAGTAAACTCGGGACCGGGACTATCAGCTGAAGGGATCGGTTCCCGAATTGCGAAGGGTTTTTTCAAGGCAACAGCCGATGTCCTATTACAGAGTGAGTTCGGTTTACGACCACGATACAGCAATGAGGAGTCTATGGAAAAGGTTCTTGACGTAGCGCTTCCGAATCAAAGATTTGCGCCACTGAAGGAAGTTTAGACAAGTCATTGAGCATTATATAAGCATACGTAACTATAAATTGACCATATACCTCCATACAAATCAATTGGATGCTAGCAAAGGTAGGGCGGTTCAGGTCTATTGTTCCATTACCAAAGAATAAACCTCTCTGCCAAGTCTATGTGTAGGATGTGTGAGCTGAGCGAGGTGAGAATGTTAGATTTTGTTCTAAATGTTTTGATTGGCTGGTCGATTCTTCCACGTGGAAGTGAGAGGCGTGAGTACTTCTGAACCTGCATAGCAATGCAAACCAGATTGGCTTTACAAGGCCTCTTTACTGACGGAATGATCCACGAAGCAATGCATGATGTCTTGTGAGCCCGAAACGCTCGGTTCTCCTACAGTGCTAGCTTTAATTCTGAACTCTCCATATTATCCGGCAAATCCCCTACGGTAGTATATTCATCTGCATAAATGGCAGACAAAGCACTTGGAAGACAATTTCTCAGCTCCTCCAAGCTCACACACATAAGGCCTTCCCTCCGCCAATACCCGCCTACTTGGGCTTAGTTCGCGATGGCGTTAAAAGACTCGACACGAGTGTCTTGTAGGAAATAGTATTCGTCTTGCCCCAAATCTGCTTATAGCTGTTAATTCATTGGGCAACTGCCTCTTATGAATCCCATGGCTTTTTCGCCTGCGGTATGTCTTGCGGCGAGGAAACTCGATGTTTCCATCGATAACGTTGCCAGGGATCATATACTTTCTGCATAGGATGCCCATGGAATCATTCATCACGACTTCGTCTCTTCCGGATGGGTGATAAAAATACTTGGTAGGCGTAGTCCCGCTAATGATCTCCACTATGAGTTCACACGCCACGACGTCCCACAAATATAGCTCTACATGAATTTAATGATGCAGTCACATAAGAAGGAGAAGAGTTCTGGGGTCTATCACAGCTGTATGACAAGAGGATCAAATAATCGACCTAGCTAGCCCGCACAACAATCCTATTTATAACGAGACATATTGCTCAAGTAGAAATACTTAAGGATGACTACATTCACCTCCAACTGCTGACTCAGAAGGAGCATTGATCTACCTATTTTTGTATGTATAGCTTATATAACTTCATACAACTTTCTTGTTGGTAAGAGTTTACGTGGGAATGAGGAGATATCTTGCTTGCTTCTTGCCCATCCACTTACTCCAGCTACAGCCGTCACTGCTTCTGTCCTTGAAGCCTCGGTTGCCTCTCGCCTCAATCGCCGCTCGTAATATTGTAGAGCTCTCTTGGCAGCTATAAGTATTATTTCGTTGATTGGTCTTCGTTATGTAAAAGTAAGGGCTACGTACCCAAGTCTCGAGCCTTGGCTTTTGTTTCGGCATCAACCCAGGAATATTGGACAGCGCGCTCAGGGTACCGTTGGGCGATACCAAGGGGACCCATGCATTTTACCAGATGACCGCGGTCACAAATCTTCAGGTTGATATATCGTGGCTGAAGGTCGTCCTCGTTGCTGAAACATAGCCAGCCCTCCGGATCGCACATAGGTACGCGCTGACCCATACGATAGTACCAGGCCTGAAGACCTGAGACGCTACGTTCGGGAATGTTGCCAAAGAGTTTGGCAAATTCCTCCTTGATGCGGTGCCACTTCATCTTTTTGTCCTGCGAGGCGTAAATGATGTAGTCGCCCTCCTCTGTCGTGTATTTCTGGTTGACATGGCGCTTCTCAACCTCCCTGGTGGGTCTCGGATAACAAGTCATGCTTGGCTGGTCTCGAAGGGATGGAGTGCCAGTATCGTCGACGAGGTGCTTGCCTTGCTTGCCATAACGTATATGACATGAGTGAAGAGAGTAATTGAGAGAAAGACGGTCCTGGCTGGGACTGGTGCCGGTTCCCCACTGTGAGCCAGGTTGGCTGGTTGCTGGGCTTCCAACGAAACGGTGATCAAGTGAAGATACAGACGCAGGAGTTTTCAGCGACCTATCTTCTCGGATGAGGGCCTCTACCTCTTGGTCGAAGCTTTTTAAACTAGGAAGTCTTACAGGTGCGCTCCTACGAGGTGACACGAGATTGTACGGCCTTACAAGACTTGTAAATACTTGGGCTGTTGTTAGTCTCAGAGTGCTGTGATGGAAGGCTAGAGGTCGTCCGACAAAGACAAAAGCTTACCCTCAGTCTTCGCTACGGGGCTTCCTGAGATCGAATTCAGTGAGGACGGGGGTTGCGCGGGAAACTGGTCAGTGTGAGTTAGGCTCGAATGTTCGCCTGAAGGTCTTTCCGAACTTACTTCCATTTCGAGGAACGCATAAATGCTGATACGGTCGACAGTTACATTACAAGTAAGACGGAATGATAGTAAATGGTTCTGGTTCTCTGATAGTACAGAGTTATTTGTCGTACTCCAGGGGGGGCAGTGGTTTACCAATCGTCAAACTATCAGTGATGCGCTACAAAGCAAATGCTAACTCGGCGGAAAGCAGAAGAAAGAGCTGCGAGCTAGGTCACGGCTGGTAAGAAGGCTAATAAAGACTGTGAAACTCAGCTCAGAAAGAAATGTGTGGGAGGAGAAAAGATAGTAGAGGGATAACTGGGGTCTAATTCGACTCATCAGGTTTGCCACTTCACCTTCCCTCCCTCGAATTCTAATCCCTTGCCGAAATCTTCAATGCCTGTTCACACAAAATGGCCGGCATGGGTGCACATTTGTCCATTACCGAGCTAGCTACAACTCTTTTTTCTGTTCCGTCTTTAGTGGGTTTCTGGGCGCCTTTTGATTTCTCTTTCTTTTAGTAATATCTGAGGTCTCGGGTAAGCTAACTCCTTCGGTCCTCTTATCTTATCTCAGACGGTTTGTCAGAGACCTTACCAGAAGCGAGCCAATGAAACATTTAGACTAGCCTAATCAGGTTAGATAACTCAACTGCAGTCAAACTTCATAACCTCAATTCAGCCAATCAAATTTCAACTCAACCGTTGTAGTGAACTGACTTAACCTGGACCTGGAGTACGGATGCTTTTGAACTCTACCCAATGAGCCCTACTCAAGGGGCAGCGGCAGAAGCCACGTGCACTTAGTCCTTGTGAGAAGTGTGAAACACTATGAAAGGCTTATTATTCTATATAAACAGCAAGTCTCCCACATAGGCTCTTACTTCATTACCTGATCTTCCAGCATCTTGCATACATTTTTTGACCATGAGAGTTGCAGTAATCGGCGGCGGTCCGTCGGGCCTCGTAACGCTCAAGTATTTGGCCAGAGCACATCTAAGCCTGAACTGTGATGCTATAGAAGCTCGGCTCTTTGAGGCCGAAGATAGCATTGGCGGTGCTTTCACTCATCGAACATACGATGACGCAGAGGTCCGTATGTGTCACACCCTCAAGCCTGGAACGTATGAGCTAACTGACGAATGATGGTGCTCTTGATAGCTCGTATCCTCAAAACAGCTCACAACATTTTCTGATTTTCGCTGTCACGCCGACCGAGACTTTCTCAGCGCAAGTGACTATGTGCAGTACCTGCACGACTACTGCTCGAAATTTCGTTTATGGCCTAGCATTGAGCTGGGAACCGAGGTTCGTAAAATACAAGGCCGCTTCCCTCAGGGTTACGTGGTTGAATACGTTAAGAAGGGCGGCGAAGTCTTGAGGTGGAGATGTGATGCCGTCGCGGTCTGCTCAGGCTTGCACCGAGATCCAAACTTGCCCACCATCCCCGGGCTGAGCCATATACCCGAGGTCATGCATTCATCTGAATTCAAGACCAAAAGCCAGTTCGGGATAAACAAGACAGTCATGATAGTTGGGTCCGGCGAAACCGGTGCTGATGTTGCGTATCTCGCCGTGAACTCACCAACAAAGCAAGTCTTGATGTGCCATAAAGATGGCTTCCATTTCGCCCCCAAGGTTACTCTTTCAACCTGTGTGTAAGTAAGGCTTGAACAGTAATGTTAATGGTTATGTAGCGAAATCCCGGGCCGGTAGTGCTTCCTATCTTGGGTAGGAGGCCCAGCGCTAGCGAACCAGGCATTCCTATTGACGTAAGCCGTGCCAACCTCTTCGACACAACTTACGTACATCAAGCCCTTCGTAACAGCATGATACTCTGGGAATACTACAACTACTATATCAAGGTCCTGCTGTGGGTTTGCTCGGGTACGACGTCGGGAATGGACCAGTGGGTCGGCGAAATCAGCCCGGCTCGTCATCACCCATCAAAAAGTATGTTCTCACCTAGGTCTTCCTATCATACTGCCCTGCCTCAGTTGTTCTTCCTCTTCTTGACTTTTTGTCTAACGTTGTTGCAGTATTCTTCAACAAGTCCATGAAAGTTTGCCCGTACTTAAGCTTGCCTTACCGACCCAAACAGCCTGGCCCATCCCTTTGGCTTTACGCCTTGAGATCTGCTTTGGTACAGACGCCGATTCCCGACACGAATGGAAGACAGGTAGATCTCGCACCGCTGCCAAAGAAAATCGATGAGCATGGTGTGGTTGAATTTGTTGACAATGGGCGGCCGGAGTATGAGCGGATTAAACTTCAGACAATTCAGCCTGACGTTATTGTCCTGTGTACTGGCTACCAGCAGACATTTCCCTTCCTTGACGACAAGCTCAAAGTCAATACTCGTCACTTTTCGTCTCTTGTCCGCGGTATTTGGAGGCGAGAGCAGCCCACCATGGGCTTTATTGGCTTCGTGAGGCCATCCTTGGGCGCTATACCGCCTTTAGCAGAGATGCAAGCTCAGCTGTGGGTGTTAAATCTAGTTGCACCGTGCAAACTGTGTGATTTGAATACTGGAGATGAAGCACATTACAAGCTACACACCAAATCTTCCGACAGGGTTACATATGGTGTCGATCATGAGAGCTATGCGTATCAGCTTGCTCTGGATATGAACTCGGCACCTGGAATTGTGGATATTTGGAGGATCACATGGACGACTCAGAACTTGACCATGCGTTCCATGTGTCGGCTCTTTATCATATGGGCTTTCGGAGCGCATTTTAACACAAAGTTTAGACTAATAGGGCCATGGGCTTGGGGCAGTGCTACAGAAATCCTCGTGAGTGATGAATTTTGGCACACCATTACACGACGACCACTATTGTTCGGTGAGACCATTACCATATCGCAATTGCTTCGGGGCTAATTAGCTAGGACACTTCCTTGTATCTATCGTGCCAATCGCAATCTTTGCCCCCTTGAGCATGATGTTCCTGATTTATCACTCCTCATTGAGCTACTGCAAGCTTTTGGTTCAATCGCTTGCGCTGTAGTTCTGCAGCATGTTGATGAATGAATCTAGACTCACCGCAGCTCGCTAGAAGAAACTGGTTAGTCTGCAAATGGAAAGCTTTGAAGAAAACTGCGAGAGAAAAACCGGAAATTTTGTCGTGTTTGACGGGGGGCGTCATTTAAGGGACAAAAGCTGTGAACCGAGGCAGTGTCAAGTCAAATCAAGTGCAGTGACTGGCAAGCTGAAAGATAATGGGGCAGCTTCACATCTACATCAACTCTTGGATGGCCAAGTGAACTTTGGACCACTCCTTTGACATATACCAAACTCAGGACAGCCTGTTTTTGAAGGTTTCCAACTTCGGCATTATCTCTACTCGCATGTTCATATGCTTAGCAGGTGATAGTGTTTTGATAGATTTGTCCTGGCACGTGCAACTATTATCCTACTTTCTAGATCAATCAAGCCTCACAGAGGGGTTGACAGTGACGAAAAACAGCGAAAAAGAGCCGCGTCAAGCTTATCAACCAGAGTGAAGAAAGAGCACATAAGCAGCCTCACCACCTATTACTAAGGCCGCTTGTGGCTATATTGAAAAAGCTAAGACTAACTACGTAGGGAAAATTGGGAAGCTAATAGGATACCAAAAGTCACAATTGGAAACAGAAAAAGAGAGGAAGATGGGACTTGCCAGTACGGACCCCCTTTATGAAACTTAATGTGATTAAATGGATCTACCGGTAACCAAACCGTCCAGAATGACCGATCACGCCGCCAAACCCTAGTTGACGTGCCAAATTGACTGTAATGTACCTCTTGCTGGTTTATCAAGATTCAACGTGCTTATCAGCCAGAAGGTCGACAATCTTCCGGTGGCCCTTGAGTGATGCTAACTGAGGTGCCGTTGCGCATTCTCCGCCTTGTGTGTTCACGCCAGCGCCCCAATCGAGTAAAATCTGAACAATCTTATCATAGCCGTGGAGAGACGCTAGCTGTAATGCCGTTGGGAACCACCCACTTCGCGCCTCGATATTGGCGCCTTTGTTAAGTAGAAGTTGGACAATATTATCATGACCATTTGCCGATGCGACCTGCAGGGCTGTTGCGAGCCTCCCACCTTGTGCGTTGACAGAAGCACCATTGTCGACTAGAAGCTGAACAATCCTCTCGTGGCCATTTGCTGATGCGACTTGCAGGGCCGTTGCGAAATTTTCGTCTTGCGCGTTAACATCTGCGCTTTTACTGAGTAGGAGCTCAACTATCTTTGCGTAGCCATTAGCTGATGCTTCTTGAAGTGCTGTTGGGAGTCTTCCGCCTTGCGCATTGACATCGGCACCGGCATCGAGTAGAAGCTGGACAATCCTCTCATGACCAGTGGCGGATGCCGCTTGCAGAGCCGTCCCAAACCTTCCACTTCGTACATCTACATTGGCATTTCTACCAAGGAGAACCTTAAGGGTATTCTCGTGTCCGTGATGTGATGCTGTCTGTAGGGCCGTTGCGAGCCATTCACTTTGCGCATTGACCTCGGCGCCCTTGTCGAGAAGAAGCTGCACGATCTCTGTGTATCCTCCTGCTGATGCTCGATGCAATGACTTGCTCAATATTGACTGGGATATGCATTCACACTTTGTCTTATGAACGGTGCACTGCCTCTGCAAAGCACCAAGGGCCTTGCTAGCTTTATCTATCTGTCCTTTCCCCGCAGCCCAGAGCAATGCTGCTGGATTCTTACTTGTGCCATCGTGATAGTATAGAATATCTTGGGTGATATGGTTGGCAAACCTGCTAGTGCAAGCCAGAGCAGCTTGTTCTTTTGGCCCAAGAAAGGCAGCGACAATAGAATAAAGCTCTAATGGGAGGGCGAGAAGCGACATCTCTTGCTCAACGCGGTAATGGACAAGGACTCTAGTCGGTGAATTCTTTTGACGCATAGTATGAGATACATTTGAGGCAGCCACCACCATCCAAAACGACAAAGGTCACTGGGTATCCAAACCCCTGGGTAGGTTCATGAATTGTCGATCTCTTTCACATGATAAACAAGTTGAAAACAACAGTATCCGCAGAACTGAATCAGTTCACAACGCACGTCTTCGATGGTTTGCGGACGAATAGCGGATCTTGGCTAGAAATACCTCAACTTCAGCCACTCAACGAATAGAGAGTAGTCATATACAAGCAAGCGAAAAGACTAGAAAAATCCCAAGACGAAATCTATACCTGTTTGAGGTGAGTGTTATAAGTAGACAACCAGATACTTTGGGTTGACCCATGTGCTGATTGGTTAAAGTAGTTGTTGATCTTCCCCTCTACTCCACTATGAGTTCACGAGCTAAATCTTGCGGTACGACGCCAGCAGCGGCCGGATCGCCATCCAATGGATAAATGTGAATTAAGAGACTGGGTCTCGATTCAGTTGTGTGGATGCGGTGTGAAATTGATGACACTAGTCTCACAGCATGCGTGAAAGCCAGTAGTTAATTCACAGTACGAAGAAATAGTGGGGTAGGATTTGTAACACCAACCAGCCAGGATAATGGTCTACGATAGGCTACCTAATATTATACACCGTCTGAGGTTGGTGTGGTTCCACCAAAATCACAGTCAGGGCAACACTCGCTCAGTTCGGGTGCCTAAGACGCCGAATACGATGTGGCTTATGCGCTGTCGGAAACGCCCCGAGAACCGTATCTGAGCCCGGCAACAGTGCCATTCTGACTGGGGTAACTACGTGCTAGGTGATTGCTCCAGTGAAACTCCTTGGGCCTCTTATGTCGGTGGGGCGAGGGAGTGGGGATCCTTAGAACACAACACATTGTACCCTGTGCGCAGCCCAATGTTGTCGGCACCCGGTGAATCCTTCAAGAATCTCGAGCGTGCCTATAGACGCGACTCCATCTATTCACTTTATTATGAAGATAAGTTCCATTGCCAAAGATTAATCGCGCTCGGAAAGCTATGCAGACCCAGTTGGATGAGCGTTTCAGCATGGCCAACATGTCCAGCCTCTGCAGTCACCCAGTGCCATATCCTTCCAACTCATCAGCTCATGAACCATTCACCCTTACGCCTGACTTTGGCATTATGGACTTTGGTATCACTTACAACTCTGCGTCTCACCAGGCGGAGTTGAACGCTCCCTTATCATCAATAGGCGGGCCCATATTTCGCCCTTTCAAAAATGAGTCGGAGCAAATCTCATTCTTCCCTGACGATTCTATGAAGCAAGGGCAACTTGATTTCCAGTACGAGCAAATGGCTGCGATGGGCATGACGCATCAAGGATCAATGGGCTTATTGGCCCCATCCAACGCTTTCGACATGGATTATCATTCCCTTGATGTCTCAGTCAGTGCTGCCTCTTTCATAACGACACCAAACACAGGCGTCTCCGACCCCGGAGAGACAAGTTCCTCATGGTCTTGTGCCAGCGCCAGTCCGATCTCGCCTTTATCCCCTAGAGATCTCTGGCAGGGCGTAGACTCTCTGGAACAGGACTTGTACTCTCAACCGTCGCTTTGTGCCCATCATCACAATGCCGACAATTTCCAACTCATGCCAGCTCAAAGGAGTTCGATGGAGCATGATATTCAGCAAAAGGGTACAAAGCTTCAGCAAGCTCACATCCGATCACTAAAGAAACGAGCTGCAAAGTCTAAGCCACTTCAAGTTGATGCTGACCAAAGAGGGAAAAGCATATGTGACTATCCTGATTGTCATAAGACTTTTCAACGAAGTGAGCACCTCAAGCGTCACAAAAATAGGTGTGTTGCAATGGAAAATCATTAAAAATGGTCATATTAACTCACGTTATGTAGCTTTCATGGCGAAGCACCCAATCGTTTCATGTGCGAGTTCTGTGGAAAAGACCGATTTAATCGCAAAGATAATCTCGATAGCCATCGCAAGTTGCATACGCGACGCAATAGCCGTGTGCGTGGCGTTATTTTCATCCCGGATGCGGTCCCTATCCTTGCTGAAGAGAAACGAAGCAGGAGACGGCACGCCCCTTCGAATCTGAATACTGAAGGAAAACATAAAATCCAGCCAGACCAGTTGCACTCGGGGTAGTGTCACATAGTATCAACTTATGGGGTTAGGAAATGGAAGCACTGTACTCGTATGCCTGAAATAAGTGTGTCCCGATGCATATAGCGACGGTTGGAGAGCAATTGGAAAGTGTTATAGCTGCAAGAAAGCGTGAGGGGTGGAGATATTAGCAACGTAGCCGTTGAACTAAACGCGGTCAGTTTTACGAAGACTGTTCGTACATGTCGGTGTTAACAAAAGTGAACAATGAGTCACGGCTGGAGCGAGAAATGGGCTTGAAAGTATGATTCATAATATTAGGTTCGGCTAGACGGCTCCAGGTCATCAACAAATAGCTTCCGAATCTTTCCTGATACAATCAGGGTCTCTGTCATGTAGTTCACCTCTGCACGGATTGGAGGCACCATCTTATGTGCCTTCAAGGTCGGTTAAGGACTTATCATCCAGATTTTCCTGTTACCAGCTTTACGCTGTAGCATTTGGTCCGTCACTTTGTTTAAGTGTCTAAGTTGTGGACTACATGCGTTATTTGTAGTTGAGATTTATGCCTGAGAGCTTAAATCAGCATAGACAACTCTGTAGTCTGTTTTATAGCCAAAGGCAGATTCCCCAATACCTTATTAAACTTTCACTTCATCATTCCGACTTTGTCTTCTTACTTCTTGCTTATATCGTTTTTTTTTTCGGTCTCTTTTCTTCCTAGACAACTGTACTGACTCATCGGCCGTTGATAAGTTCGTGAGACAACGACTTTCTCACGCCGTACCCGAGAATATGGAATCTTTTCACAAAAGCCCTTCCTGATATCCACCAACGATAGTCAATATTTTTTGGAGATGCGAATGACTTCCTACCATCTGGCAGAGCGCTCAAGTACCCGGGAGGTTTGACAAGCAGTTCGCATCCTGGCATTGCCGTGACCGTCGATGCACCAATGCTTTTAAATGCGCTGGTGTTAAGTCTAATCGGACAAGTCAGCGCTATTTGATGCCCAAGATCCAACACGAGTCCACATCTGTAGTTGGTTCTTCACCAAAAGCACCGACAAATTTTGACAAGCCGGTAGATTACCGATGAGAAGCTGGTCCGAGTTTGGTTGGCGTCTCATTACTTTCTGCAGATATCTTCACCCTCACGTGTACAAAAGGTAATCTATCATCCCGGCGGATCATCTTCGCTCAGCTAAGTATAGGTGCTGGGTCTGACTCCCAGGTGTTATTAACAAAAGGTGTTCTCCACATGCTCGTGGCGCACCGATACTTTAATTTTGGTGATAAATTGTACCGCAGCACTATATACTCGTGCCCATCAGTTGCTTATAAGTTGATCAGGTCACTCTAGTTCATTGCCACTATTTTTCATCACCTTTGGTCTCGAAATGGTCTCTCTCTATTCTTCGAGGGGCGAAATAGGTGTCACTAGATTGAGTAAAGAGGGGTATACCATCAATGGCTATTTTTATCCAGCCTGAGTAAGCACTGTTCTTTGAACAAACTTGAACAGAGCAAGCATCCAATTCGAAAAACAAAGAAGAGGGCTCAAGCTGCCTAGTCTCTTGAAAGTGAAGTAACTCGGTACGATATCTCGCCCCGCTTTCTAGTTCAAGTGCTAGCCAATCAAGGCTGCCATTTCATTCAAGAAGATACACATTAACGAATATTTTATGCATCTACCGGGGCCCAGGCCCAACCAGGAGGACTGGCTACCCTGCATATTTTGTGAAAATTTTATTATACAGAAGCCACAGTAATGAACTACCTTGAATAGTGAATTGATTAGCTCTTTGTATTCTACTAATCTGTTCCGTAGCGTAAGCCAGTGTGGTCACTAAACCCATTCACAAACTTTCCATGAGTTATGCACCTAGTCCATATTCGGGGGATTTGTCGCGGAGGAAGGCATTTAGTCGAACCAAGAGCATGTATTTTGGGCAAATGCTAGGATTGACAGTGGAGATAAATATACATAGTCTGCAAGTATGACGGAGTGGAATATTAACAACGGCCCTGAATTAACGTGTCTGATAAACAAAGTATTGAGCAGCATGATGGCGAACAGCTAGTTAAGGATGAGTAGCTGTTGAAAGAAAGCACATGTGTAACGTATGGGCCACATTCATCTTGCAAGTATTAACCAATATTCTGATGCAACGCTTCACTCTAATCTAGAGCTGTCAGCTCTCTTTTCTCTCCCGTGTCTTCTGCGCCCCTACTGGTTACTCATAACATCAGGCCATGAGCCACGTAGAATTCTTTGACCTTAGCTTCACATCGCTCCATGTCCACTTGAGCGTCCACGGTTTGAGGGAGTAATCGATTGTAGCGGTTGCGTGCTTCCTCCAGTTCAGAGAGAAGCTTGTTGAGCTCGGCTGTGGCTTGATTTGAGGTCATTGGAGGAAGTGATGGTACTGGGTAGACGTGAGAAGAAGTAGTGGGTGTCGCCATCTGGGGGACTGATAAGCTCAAAGTAGGTATTTGTTGCGTTTCATGGACATCTGGTGAACTGCACGTCGGCAGACGATTGGGTGGACCTACTCCAATATCAGCCAGGATGTTGCCATCAACACGAGTCGAGCTGGTACTTACACCCCTCTCTCCACGGGTTGCGTTGCTTGCTGGCAGGATTCCAAACTGGTGGTGTAAACCCATCGGATGACATGTCTGGGATGTCAGGTCGCTGACTCAGAGGCACCGAGGACGAGGGTGTCTCAGAACTAGCATCACGGGCGGGGCGGGGCGTATGGGGAAATTTATTGACGAGGTCCGTAATCGCGAGCCGGCGCTCAGGGGTCGAATCATTCCAGTCAACTTGATGCATTATGAAGCTGCAAGATTCCTGTCCATCTATGGTCAGAGAATAACGGTTTGACCAGAATTTGGCGGAAATTACTGTTGCTATCACGATATTTATACGTGATGAGAATACATGATATGGAGAAAGACAGGATGAGACCTACGTAGCTGAAGGTTGTAGGGAGGCTGTGGAGACTGTGACAATCAAAAACTGTGAATGCAGATCCGTGATACACTTTCACACTGTGAATTTGATAAGCCTGCATAATTAACGCCCTGATGTATCTGCACAAATAAGTTAGAAAGCCATGTGCCCTGAAGCACTCTGGCTCCAGGCGCGTCAGAGAATGGCAGGCCCCAACCATAGTTACCCTTGTCCTTACAGGCTCTCTTCCTGGATTGAATGCGTTACCTGCTCTCCTTAAATAGCTCTCGTACCATTTACTATCATGACTATCGCCATTGAAGACATGTATACCTGCTGCTTTAACCCAATCTCTTCACATAACCAAGCATCGAAGATTTCTTTTTGTCCCATTGTGGTGTTCAACAAGGCCTTGTTATCGTGCTTGACCCCCGCGTGACACATCCTTCTCTCACTGATGTTTTGATCCAACTCTGCCCGCGTGGCGAAGCCCAGCGGCCCCCACAATGGTACAAATCAACAAGAGGGTTAGCATAGCCCAAAATGTCGCTCTGTAGCCCTCAATTATGGCTTGTGCCGCAGAATTTACTCTCACTTGTCTTGTGACCCGTGTTGAAATGACCTGCATGGCAGCTAGTCCCATTGTGTTGCCAAGCTGCCCAGCAGTGTTAAAAACAGCACCAGCAACTGCCTGCTTTTCATTCGGAAAAACGTCTGTTATGACTATGAGGCTGATTGTGAAGAGAACATCAACAGAAAAAGGCATGAGGATCTGTGCCGGGAAAGCGCATTTCCAGTAAGGCCATTCCGGCTGGATTAAAGCCATAAGAAGGGGTGAACCAGCAGACAGGAGAGAGGCGAGAGCGACTAGCCAGTTGGCACGGATCTTATTAACAACAAGGCCCGTTAAAATGTTGAGAGCGAGGCCAACCACAGTGCTTGGAACCATGCGTATAGCTGCTTCAAGGGCGGAAAGATGCTTGATGTTTTGAAAACTAGTATATGCTGTCAGCTGAGGAGATATTGTGACTTGGGTTCAATTCCTACTTACTAAAGGCTCGTCATAAGATCTAGAGAGTTCAGAACAGCAAATGATAATGCTACCGTAACACATATGCTAGTAAAAGAAGCGTTCTTCCAGACCTCATTGGGAATCAGGGCCACCTGGTCGTTCTTTGCCCTAAAGTGCATCCAGAAAACAAAAAGAACGGCAGTTACTAAACTGAGGCTGACGGCCAAGAGACTCCCAGGTGATAGAATTAGATCAGTATCAGCACTGACGATGCTGTTTCGTGGTCAGTAGTTGCTCGAATAGATAGGAAAGCTGGTGAACTAACGCCAAGAAGTACGTCAGAAGGCTCATCGAGGACGATGAGAGCAATCCGCCAACCCAGTCAACTCGTGTTTTTATATTTTGCCATTTGGCTTGTGTCGAGATAGTCTCTATGGATTTTGGTAAAGACCACAATCCCAAGGCAAAGAGCAATAGAGTCATACCTCCACAGAGATACCATCCCGACCGCCATCCAATCGTGTCGACCAGTATGCCACCTAAAATCAGGCTAGCTGAGAAGCCTAACAACTGACTTAATCCCAAGCAAGCAAAGGATAAGTTACGCTCTCGTCCTTGAGGCTGACCTAGAGTAACAAGGGCCACAGAGGTAGAAAAGTGCAGCGCAGCCGCAAGGCCCTGTAAGGCTCTGAGGATGATAAGTTGCTCACCATTTCGAACGAGTCCACAAGTAGTTATAAATATAAAATTAAACATGCAACCCAGAAGATTCACTGACCGTGGTCCTGCGACATCAGCAATAGCACCGGCAAGGAGCAGTGTTGATGCTGTGGCCAGCCCATACACTGACAATGGCCAGAAGGCAAGAGACGGATGAAGATCAAGATCTTCTTTCAATCGAGGAAGCCCAATCACTGTAAGGCCGTTGGATGCATTGCTGGTAATGTTCACACCGCATAAGTAAGCCACTGTGACCACCCGGTGTATGAAGCATGTAGATGAGGATGTTTTCATATCGGTTGCTGGGTGATCTTCATCGCGGCTAGTCGTCCGCTGCACGCCGATCGTGGGTTTCTGCGATAGAGAACACGACGATTCAGGGGTCGGAAGATTCATGATGACACCGCTCGTCATCGAGCAGAAGGATGAATATCTGGAGAGGATTTACAAAGCGAGGTTGGCATAGTATGGCACTACGTTGGTTGATGATACTACCTCGGTATCCTTATATTGTGGTCCTAGAAAATGGCCTTTCTGGCTTTATAACAGTATTGTTTCTTCCGATACTCGCTGAGATATTGTTTAGTCTAAGGTAACCCTAGCGTACACAGCGAATGCTCGCAGGTCTCGCTAACACTCTCAACCCTCGCAGGGACAGTTACTCGAGCAGGCAGCTCTGAGGTTCGATTGACCTTGCCTTTCCACAATAGCCGACTATATGGACCGAAGTGAAACACTGATCCGTAAGCGATTTCATTCAATCTCGCCTATTTACTGCTATACGGAAGCCAAGAGTAACAGTGGATGCTGGCATCATGCACTAAGTTCTGACCAGCAGAAAATGAGAAACAGTGGATATTCTAGACTCTACGCTACATGAAATAGATAGGAACTAGAGTGAGAGAATGGGGAAATCTAGCACGAATACATGTTAATTAACAGGGGGCCTTGTTCCCAGCCAAGGTTCTTCTCTGTCCTGCCTCTATTCAGATACCATAACTTTCTAATATAACTCACTCAGACACCTGTTTCTAATGTCAAGAGTTAATAGCCTGACAGCACAACCTGTCGTTCCTCTGCAAGTATTAGTTCATCCCTGAAAACCGGACTATCCCAAATTTTACCATGACGCACAGAAGTCAGCCGTATACAAACAATCCTGATCCCTCTTCAAACACATCACCATTGATGAGCAGCCCGGATGAAGCGATGGAAAAACCTTGCTTTCGAGACGTTGATGCTTGGGACGCTCTTAAAAAGCGTGATCTTGAGTACGCCATCAATCTCCTTGTCTCGGGCGAATGGACTATCAACGGTGTCATAAAAGACGGTTGGGGGTCTTTAGACGCGAGAGTTGGCAGTGAAAGATGTCACGAGACCGCCCTCCTGGCCTTAATCATTCGCCGCATTATCATCGCATATCTAAAGGAGAGAAAGCTCCTGGAGATTTTTGAGAGACTTGTTACGGAGTATCGCGCCAAGCACGCCCAAGACAGATGTTGGACTAAAGTTTTTAAGGTCCAAGATATTTATATCAATGACTCTGGCCGTTACAAATACATCATTCTATCAATAATCAACTTTATAGGTTCCGACTGGGCAACGTTTATTGGCTCTGCGCGGACACTTGCATCTTTTAGTGTACTCAGCACTATGGAGTGTGGATTGAGTGTTTCCTACCGTCGTTTGGGAGATGTCCTTGTCGCCACAAGCAAGGAACAACGTGCTGCTGGGATGGGAGAATACTATGATGCCGAATATCCACTGCGTACAACATTCACCCATGTTTCTTTCAAGCTTATTGAGAAACTCTCTGTTGAAGTTTTGACAAAAGGGGTCCCGGAGAGCCCCTTTGGTGCAAAGCCTCGGGCCTGGGAGACCCTTCCAGAACAAGCACGAGAGATGTTCCACTTCTCAAAAGCCGAAAAGAAAAACCCACGCCATAATGGCTGCTCTATTATCGTAGGGTCATTCTCCGCCTCCATGCAGATCTTGATTAGACTCTGTTGGCAATACAAGATTCCGATCACGCTCTGCGTGCCCCGCCTACGATATGAGAATGATCCTGATAGTGCAACGAGCATGGCGACATACAAGCTTACTTCGGCACCTGTTCGGACATATATATCTACCAACGAGTCCTGCGGAAGCTTTAAAATGGTGGATACTCTACAGGAGGACGTGGGAAACGAACCATGCTGGAAGCTAGGTGGCTACAGCATGTATCACGAGTCACAGCCTGGAACGCTTCTCTCTTCAGGTAATGATGGCCAATATATTGAGGCGCTGGAACAGTCTGACGTGGGTGATTTGCTGTCGCTATTTGGTTTTGTCCATCGTGAATATCCACCGGAGACTGAAAACGGAGACGTTGGCCTTGTGGAGTTACGAAGCTCAATATGCGGAGGAACCTTGCAATCTGCTGAGTCAAGTTTCAAGGGCATCCTGTCTGGTGGAGATTTGAACTCAATCAGTCCGGCAACCAACTTGAGCCTTCTATCTCTCTCTACCGCTGCCGGCAAGATCGCTAGTCAGTACAATCTGAAGGATACGGTTCTTGCACGCCAACGCGACACCGCGACGAAATCGTCTTATCAAATGCAATGCAAGCCGATACCCTTCACTTTTGACCACATTGACATTTCTACTCCAAGGCAGGAACAAGCCAAGTGGGCTGGTATTGTTCAAAAGCACCAATCGACGACGGAGCCTATGTATGCAAATCTGTTTGTGATAGGCAATACGTTTTATGGGATGAGTGATCAGGCAGAAGCCGATAGACTCATGAAGCTGAACAACGAGAGTGAGAAGATCCGAGCCTTACTTCAGCGACATCCCGAACACGATGCCTTCTTGACAATGAAGCATAAGGCCAAACTAAAGAGGAGTAAGGGGGGAACTAAGAAGAAGAAGGATTCGTCTGCGGTTGCAAAAACTGAAGTTTCTAAGCATATTCTAAAGCGAATGATACAATAAGCATGGTTAGGAGTTGTCTGCATGGGGGCTGTTCATTACGCTTAACACATTTATACACTTCAGGCTGATAAGGCTAAAATCATATCATTTCAACTGAAGCATGTCACCATGCGCAATGAATAGTACCAGGCATTTTTGTTCCCATTAGCCAGAGGTTTATTTATATTACACTGTACATATACGGCTAGTACCATATCGCACCCATATACCTTCTGCTTTCGAAGGCCAAACATTACTTCTATCATAATCTCATAACCCTGACTGCTGGGGGTATTTCCAAATGTGTTAAATGTTTATATGCAATACAGATGTCGCTGAACCCATGCTGTGCGTCATTGCATCAGAAGGGGCAGATACTGAAAGATGATATATTCTAATTTCTACTTATTGAATAACTTATGGTGCACCTAACATTATAAATATATATTTATCTCTTGTTTCAGGAAAGTTCTATTTCTTACAGTAAAACGCTTTTATTCCTAATCTCAGTAAGTCAGGACGCAGTATACTTACTTAACCCACACATTAGAACAACCATTTTTAGAGATTCTTACACTCCTGCTATTTGAATTCGTAATAATCCACCCGATTCAATAACTTTCTCTGGACCTATAAAAGTAACACGGCCCAAAACATCTCTTACATTCACAAAATAATGGGCAGCCCACTTACCGTTTGGTGTGTTAAAACACCCGCATTATGTAGTCTTTCCAGCATCATCGCAGGTTTTCTTGGATGCTCCAGTCTCTACATCGTTCTCCAACAAGGGGAGGTTGTATACCAAAATCGCAACACTATATCTCATCTCGCATCAACGCTCCTATTGGGTACCACCATAGTGGCCGTGTTCAGCGTTACAGTCACTGGCGTGCTCTCGATTACCCATGGAAGTCAAAAAAGGCAAGGTAGGCGGGATGGTATCAACTTCGTTCAGGTGCGTTTTGGAACAACCAACGGTTCAAAAGCCTCATTGTGGTTGCCGATGGCTTCAGTAAGCCTCGTAGTAATCCAATTCTTGGTGGGCCTGCTCCTATGGCACTCGGCTCGTTTCCCAACTTGGTCTATCATTCTACTTTTAGTGGAATCACTTATTCTCCTAGTTGGATCGGCGATGATCCTTCGGAATGTCTTTGGGGCTTTTCAGATTGAACAGAATGGACAGACTGAATCGTTTGCAACACGGGACCTATACACCATTATAGAATAAGGATTTCACTCTCAGTGCTTATTTACGTAGGCAAAACATTTCGATTTCTCTTTGAACGATCCATTGGAAATGCCCTCGACGTATTACAATTTGTGGGGCACTTTAGTAGATTGTGAGAGCCTAAGCCCGTCAAGGATCGTATTATAGCTTGTATGTATTGGCACCTTCTAGATTAGCAAAGCTCCAGTAATCCTATCCACACGCCTTGCCAGCAAGTGTATACTCTGATTCTCCTAGCTATCGTCCGCTAATCAGTCAAGTTTCTTTCTCCGTCGAAATATCTTCGATCTTCGAGCATTAATGCTTGTAAAAGGCGGCTATAATGATCCCCCGTGATAGATCCGTCACGACTATACCCCCGACCTTTCGGACGGCGACGCAGTGACAGCATTACCATCAAAGCCGTCCCGTAACGTTCTGTCGTTGCTTTGATGTTAGACTCATGGCTTAAAAGGAGGCGAACAATACTCTTGTGACCCATGGATACTGCAACATACAGAGGCGGTGCGAGCCGTGCACCCTGTAGACTGGCATCAGCACCCCTACGGAGGAGCAGCTCGGTCATTTCTCTATCACCGTTGACAACCGCCCGTTGGATGGCCGTAGGGGAGTATCGAGTATGTTCGTCTATACCGGCTCCATTGTCCAGCAATAACCGAACAATACCCCTGTGACCTCGAGTTGCTGCTGCTTGGAGTGGCGCCACAGATCGATGATGCGGCGCACCAACATCAGCGCCACGTTTGAGAAGGAGCTTAACAACCGACTTGTGTCCTCCAGCTGCGGCTGCTTGAAGTGCTGTTGTGAGTTGTTCGCCCGTGGAAAACAACACTGCACCAGACGATTCTACTTGCCGATTCACATTGGCGCCATTCACGACAAGACGCTGAACAATTCTTCTCTGGCCATGAATTGCTGCTACTACCAGGGCTCTTGCCAGTACGTCGTCTTGAGCCCGGGCATCACTGTTTCTGGTGAGAAGTAGCTTGAGAATCCTCCAATTTCCATTTGCCGAAGCGATATTTATGGGCTTTGGAAGTATTCCGCCGCGAAAATCGATACCAGCACCTTGATCTAACAGAAACTCGACAAGTCGTTTGTTGCAAGTAGCCACGGCGCATTGAAGCGCTGTGGAGCATCGCTGATCGTGCGCGTCAATGTCAGCGCCGTTTCCGAGGAGAAGCTCTACGATTTCTTTATGCCCTCTGCTAGCAGCTCCCTGAAAGGCCGGTGGGAACTGCTGCGTTTGTGCATCCACATCAGCGCCATGACTGAGGAGTAGCTGGGCAATTTTTCTATGGCCATGAAAACATGCCAATTGCAAAGCGCTAGGGAAGCCAGCCTTCGTCGCATTGACGTTTGCGTTTGCCTCGAGAAGAAGCTCGATGATATCTGAGTTTCCACTTTTTGATGCAATCTCCAGAGCGCTCGGTAAGCTTCTATGGCGGATATCCACGTTTACTCCATGCTTCACAAGCGCTCGGAGAATACCGGCATTTTCACAAATTGAAGCTATGCCAAGAGCTTCTACCAGTTTAGTTTGGATTGCGCACTCGCAGGCGGAGCCATGATCAAAGCATCCTTGCCTATAGCTTTCGAGGGCTTTTTCAGCGGTTCTTTGGCAGCCTGAAACCGCAGCCCAAACCAAAGCAACGGGGCGCTTTCTTTTGGAGTCAAAGAGGTAAAGTATGTGATCCGTAATCTGATGTGCTCGTCGGTGTGACAGACCTAGGTTGAATAAATCTCTGCAGGTAAGGGAAGATGCAACATGGTAATAAAGTTCTGGAAGAAGGGCAAGCAGTGTCATTATGCAAGATTCAGTCGTAATTATTGATCATATTAAAGCTAGAGTAAGAAGGAGTTTCGTCACTTCTGTTATACGACACAGAACTAGGAACATGAACCACCAATCTTGGTGCGTCATAAGACGTGGTTGGGAGCATGACAGCAGCAATTCATCTTCTACGAAAGCGACCAGTGAAATGGCTTGCAGGCTGACAAGTTGTAGTCGGGCCCTGGAGTGAAACATATTTCACAATTGAAAGAAACACCGCCATAGTGTCACCATTCAAAACCAAACAATGGCATCTCCCGATTGATGCCTCGCTTACATATGAACATGGGTATCGGGAAATGTGTGTACAGTATGTGAAGTCGCCTATTAGCGCGGAGTGAATCTTACTCTTAGTGCTTAACCTTGATCTTACGAGAGATAGGAACTGACAGAGCTCTCCATCCTACCAATCATCACATAGGTCTCATTCGTAGAATCAGTAGCAGGGCCCAGTTAAGATCACTTGATGTGTCAACCCCCGTTTCACGACAGGTATCTCGGCCATTTCAAAAACACTGCACTTATAATTATGCTTGAAGTATCTTAGACATGGCTTTCACTAGGTCAGGAACCACAGTGGTCAGTGCATCGGAATTATTACTTGCGAGTAGCGCCGTTCCCCGGTACACCATCGCTATCAATCCTATGAGAACGGGTTGTGCTCTGTTCTCGTGCCAAGAGTGACAGTTAGGTGCTCAGAACTCAGCTCTGCTCATGCCATTGTATAAACCTCGATAACCCATATCAACATCGATCATCCCGTTGTATATTTGAGTCCTGAAAATCTAGATTCAGACCTAACATGTGTCAATGTTAAATTTAAATTGCTGGCTTAACTATTCCAGATCTAGAGCTCGTTATTGGCAGGGACGAACTTTTTCTATAGTACTAACCTATTCCAGTAATTATGGGGCCTTCTGTCAGCTCACCCGTGAGCTCACTGTGAACTCACCTTTAGCGCCGAGTGGAGCAGATGCCTTATCCTCTGTCGGATCAATGACCAAGGCTAATTCGCGAGTTGTTGAGATTTGATGGAACATATGTACGGCGAATTGTGTGAGCCTACAATTAATTGCAGCTAACTATAATTGGACGAGGCAAGAAAAAGATTTTTATCCGGCATATATTACTAAATGAATTGGATACTATAGATACTTTACTGAAGACATGCTGTATAGACTCAATGTCCTAGAATTGATAGTAGGAGCTCTTTCCCCTGAGAGTGGGTATAGAAAGAGGATGCTGAAAACCCGAATCAACAGCCACGTAGGCTTACTACATAAATCGGCTGAGCTGGGACAAATCGCGGTACCTCAACTGAATGGACGTGATTATTCATTGGTATGCATCACAGGCTGCTCTATTTGGACTTTTTCTTTCAACGATTATGGTTGACAAAGCGTCTGAGCCAGTATTTATATCTATGATGGCCATGATACTAACATCTGCACGTATACTATTTGATTCTGCGAATCACTTTTTCTTGGGCCTTTCGATCTTTCTCGGGGTTATTCTCCGTGACCCTTGCTTCTTTGGATCTTGTTGATTGGCTAGACGCCTTGCTTGGGCTCTTGTGACACGACTTGATTTAGCAACGTTGGTGTGACCGCCGATGCGTTGCGAGCTTATCGTATCGAGATCCCGTTGTCCTCGTACAGTACACAGAAGTTCTTTAACCTCCTCCATTAGATGTGAAGTTTTGTCCATGATGTCGGGTGCAGGGCGCGGTTGGAACTCAGACAACTGCTTAGCCAGTAGGGTATCGATCTCAGAACACTGTTTTGCTCGGTCTTGTGTAAACAAGCTTTTGAAATCTTCTGTAGACATCTCAATCGACTGCACGATTCGTTCCAACTTCTCTGCTGTCCTGGTCCACGTTGTCATTGTCACCTCCGTCAACCGTTTGTATTCACTGAGTGCAGTAAGCATCTCTGATGTTTGCTCTTGCATGGGAGCTTTAATCTCAGAATGGAGTGTGGCAGACAAACTCTGGAACTCTTGTCGCAACGCTTCAGTCAGGTGTATTACTCCTCCCCTATCCTGCACCACGACGTCAGAGCTAGTTGTATTTTCCTTCAAGGACTCTTGGTGTTCGTCTAGTGCCCTCAGGAGCCCTGATGACTGCTCTCGTAGTAAGACTTTGACATTGCCGCAAAATGTAGAGAACAAGGTTTCGGCTTCTTCTCTAGATATTCCGACCGGCTTGCCTGTCATATAATTGGTTTTTATTTCGTCTTTAGCTTTCGGGTATGGGAGTCCAGCCTTGCAATTGGGGCCCGAACGGTCTGAGCCTGAGACGTACTGCTCAAACGCACGAAATACAGCATCATGAATGAACTTTTCGAAAGATTGCCACTGCTGTAGGGCGAAGGGGTGCGGTACTGCGTTTGGAGGCAGTCCCGGCTGGATCATAGGGTGATGCAAAGGAGTTCGAGGAAAGTTGGGCGGAGGGCCGCGGTTGGGAGGGATGTTATGTTGAGGATCATAGGGTGGCATGATGTATGGACGTATAAGAGCATGGAATGTAGTAACAATTGAATGAGAATGGCAGAGATAGGGGGCGACCTAACTTGCCTATAGAAATGAGAACTGGTCGAGTAATAAAAACATTTCACTCTCAGGCGTGTCTCAACTTTAAATAAGTACCCCAGCATCTGTAGTGTCCAATTTGACCAGCGATATTTGACAGATGGTACTTCTATTCCTCCCCTTGTCCAATTGTGGGTCGCCAGTGCCTCTCCATCTTCTATGGTTTCCCGACCCCTCAACCCATTATGCAAACTGTCAATCTTGCTGCGCTGCAAGCAATAATCAGCTTTGGTGCTTTCGGAACGCTCAGTAGAGAGGGCGTTGCATGATAGGTGCGCTTCCGCCTGGCACTTCATGCCGTTACTCCTTCGTCTTAGCTCACCCTGACCTCTACGATTGTGCGACCGCCAGGCTTGGATGCGATATCAATCACGGAGTATTAGCGTGCAAAACAAATGTTTAGTGTGTGAAATGATCAACTAGTGTGTAAAACAATTTTTTTAGTGTGTGAAATCAGCAATTAGCGTGTAAAGTTGCGGGCCATGAACTTTAGTCTCCACCAGTGGCCGGGGATGCGTACCGTACGAGTATCTGAATAGAAAAGTTTTTCTGGTGTAAAGTCATCGATACGGCATGACTCCTACCCTACAGGTTGATAGTCAAGTAGCTTAAATCATTATTCCCGTACTTCTCAATGAAAAATGTCTATAAACCATGATTTATATATTAATAGATTCAGTAGCACAATTTGGATCTCTATGCTGAAGATACTCATGTAGAGGGTGTCAGTATTGTTTGTCAAAACGTGAATATTTGACCACCCGCGACGGGGGACTTTCTATAAGAGCCACATTTCCTTCTGTACCACCAGGCAAAAACATGCAAGCTCCTAATATCGTAGAAAGTGGCGAGTTAAATCATCATCGAAAGATTCCAACCTTACCTCTGAGCTATACCGATAACTTCCCTCGTATCACGAGAGAGACTTTACTTGGGTGCATTGATCGCAAGCTGGATCTAGACTTCGGTCGTTTGATTATCGTTGATTGCCGTTTCAGGTACGAATATGAGGGAGGTCACATTGATGGCGCGATTAGCCTTGCTCCACGATTTGGAAGTATCGTGGATACAGATTTCTTTGATGACTTGATTCCCGGCAAGTCTAGTCAAGGGCGGACGTCCATATGTCTTTATTGCGAATTTTCGCAGTATCGTTCACCGTTAGTCGCAGATCATATACGGTCAAAGGATCGGCAATACGATACCGACCGGTACCCGGCTCTCTTATACCCTAACATTTACATCCTGGAGGGAGGCTACAATAGTTTTTTCAATGCCTACCCAGAACGATGCGTTCCGCAAGCATACATTCGAATGAAAGATCCTGTACATCAGCGTATTTGTGAAGAAGAACTCCATCGCTTACGGGGATCCGCAAGACCTTCCAAAATATGGACATTCGGGCGTACGGATGGATTCAAGCTCTCTTCGAACACTAGGAATAGGGACCCTTAAAATGTAAGCATTTCTCTCTTCTCAGCCTGAGATTAGCTGGAATGACGCCTTGGGCAGATCCGTGCCGTGGTCAAACCTGCTCCATGTTGGACCTCGCTCGATACTACAGATGCTAACAAGCAAAAGGGCTGCCAGGGAGATAGACCAGGTGGATTAATGCTTATACTTTTGGCTAATATAATGGCTATGAGGTAAAGAGGAAGTCGCGGTTGTGAAGCAGGGCCGGTTTCCAAGCTTACTCAGGGTGATGGTGTAAAATGCCAAGTAGGATACAAGAACCCGCAACGATGCATCGAATACACGTACTGTGAAGTAAAACTTTGCTTCTGGCTATCAGTCAAATTGCATCACTCATATGCCAAACAGGTACCTTGCTATTCATAAGGCAGCCCTCGAGAATATATAAGATTCACGCTTATCCGAAAGTAGCTACCTAAACACAAATGGAGTATGAGGTTGGCATCGGCCCGGCTGCAGAGTGTTTTAGTAATTTATTTATCTTTTTTCTCTTTTAACACGCTTCCCACGTAACTTGGAAACTCAGACCAAGCTGAATCGTCCTATTTGACTTCTAGTGACCGGTGGCTTATCTGACTGGGGTGCTGCATCACGTAATGCCTAATATTATCAAAAACCAACACCTTGTTCTCTTCCCTTTCAATTCTGTCATCCTGTACTCTCAAGTTTTGGACCGACTCGTCGTTTAAGAAAGGTAAGACTGACAGTACACTTAGGGTTCATTCAACGTTAAAGTCTTTATAGAATCATATCCAATGCGTTTTAGAAAAGACGTTGCCAAAAGCCTAACGGGTAAGGCCAATAGTATGATGCACAAAACTCGAGCGATAGCCAATATCTCGGGAAATCACATGGCGAAAGGCACTAGATCTCAAGTAGGACGGTCTAAGAATAGACAAGAGGAAAGAACTTGTCTCTGTTGTGGAATAGGTCGCAAGTCATCGGATCTTCCTAGGGTCACCGAGTATTGGGCGTCGACTATGGAGCTATAGAGACTTTAGAGTATTACATCCATAATTCAGTATAAGAGAAGAATATAATGGAGGCCGAGTAAAAACGACAGTTTTATAGATAAGATTGCTGAGAGGTTAGCAAGGTGTTGGTGTAGAACATTGTCTTCAACTCAGTCTCGTGATGGTGGTGGCATACATCACCCCCCTTAAAGAGAGCGATTTATGTATGTAGCAAGTCATTAGTGGCTGACTTTACAAAGCAGCGTCTTGCTACGGCTTGTTCTGCGGCTTTCGCTTAGATTAGTATTGGACGAGAAGTTACTAGAAATATCTGTCTATTTAGCTGGAGCTGACTGTACCAGTCAGAGACAACATATAGGTCACAGCAATAAATCCTTCAGTCATCGCAGGCGCGAGCGTCGTACCTGCGCCTTGCGATCCAAGAAGTGCAGCAGATGCATTCCCACCAGCAAATAGGCCGTGAATCACGTCGCCATTTTTCCTCAGTACTCTTGCGAACTCATCAGTCAAAAGTCCTCCCCTTGTGCCAGCATCTCCAGGGAAGATCCTGATGGCATAGAAAGGGCTCTCTTTGACAGGGCCCATGCAAGGGTTTGGTGTGACATCTGGATCGCCGATGAACTGCTGGTATCTATCCTCGCCCCTACGGAAGTGCTTATCACGGCCATCGTCGCACATTCCGTTCCATTCATCCAAAGTTGCTTGTAGGTTCTGGGGTGGTACCAGAATCTGCTTTGATAAACCGTCTACGGTATCTGAGCGTACCAACAGGCCCTTTTCGACGGCTTGGTCAATTGACCATGGACTATGAAGCTCCCCAATAGGATATGTCTGCATGTATCTGTCATCGAAAACAAGCCAAAATTCTGCTGATCTGCTGCTTTTCTTTGCCCTTTCGTACATGGACCTAACAGCAGCACCATACGGTTCAGATTCGGAGAAGAAACGGCGGCCATGGCCATCCACCACAAAGGAAAAAGGCTTTGATATCGCGAACATGGCTTCTGTCACTTTCCCTGTTCCAGGGTTGATCATGGTTGGGATACCCCAGACTTGGTCCAGCTGCGCACTGTCAGCGTCAAGTACTTGGCTGACTCGAAGCGCAATTCCAATGTCTCCAGGAGCAGCGAGACTCCATCCCGCCATGGTAGATATCTTTGAGGCCCTTCCATCGGTAGATCCGATTCCGAGGTATGTGTCTCTCATCTTCTGATTTTGAGAGAAACCTCCTGTGGTCAGCACCACACCCAATGATGCGTGGATGTAGACCGGCCTCTCGCTGTGTCTACACAAGACCTTTGCTCCAATCACCCTGCCACTAAGATCAGATACCAAAAGTTCTTGTAGCTCGCATCGGGTCCAGATTGTCACATTGTTGTGCTCTTTGCATATCTTGAGGAGCTGAGCGATCAGCGACTGACCCATAGACATTGGTATCTCCATATCCTGAATTGGAGCCATGTTTTTGATGGCACATCCCGTGGAAAAAGGCGGCCTCGTCAGGACACACAAGTCTTCGAATCGGGAGATAACAGGTACATTTTCCTGAACTTGGAGGTATTTTACCCAGCCTTCCATGCTCGCTGCATCGAAAACATCGGGATCCAGGGTGCGGCCATATGCGACCGCTCCTTCCATATGTGGGTGATAATCTGGGAACTTGGAAGGAGCATCCATCCATCGAAAACCCTGGTTTCTGAAATAATTTACCATCTCCGGACCCTGTGTCAGAAAAGCCTCCAGTCTTTTGCTTTGCAGATCTCCGAGAACAATGTCTCTGTCGGTAACTGGGCTTGTAGCCTTCCCAACAGCTGTAATGTAATGTTCAGCCTTCTTTATACTATCCTTGATCCCAAGCTCTTGCATACGAAAATTGTTGGGCATCCACATGCAGCCACCGGACCTGAAAGTGGTGCCGCCGACATGATCCTCTTTCTCAACAAGGATGACTCTGCGCCCTTGGTTTTGTACGGCTGCCGCCGCCGCTAGGCCGGCAGCACCAGCACCTACAATAAGGATATCGCATTCAAGAACGGACCCTAGATAATGACTAGAGTTCCCGCTATGGTGAGAGTCTTGCCTAGTGATAGGGTAGTTGGGTTGTGTGTTATGCGAGGGCATGGCTCAGGTCTTTATGGCGCTGGCGCAAAGGACGAGCAGCGCCTCGCTTGTTGGAAGGCTGAGTAAGAGTAATGAGTTTATGATTGGCTCTTAATACTCAATGATTGCCTGCTGAAAGTTTTTGTTTCTTCTTGAATTGCTGAGTAAAGGCAAGTTTGGCGAGAGCCAGAAGCTTTTTATAGAATGCTTCAATAAGATAAAGAATGCAGGCAAAGAGAACCAAGACCACGATGTATGTATGATCAGTGGGATAAGTCAACTTGGGGAATGCCGAGCTGCGTCTTGGACGAACCATGTTGTAGCCGAGATTGGTGGAATAGGGAGCAAAGCGCTTACGGTGCTTTTCACAACTTAAAAGATCTATTTCTCCAGAGCAGCTAGCTACAACAACCCCTTCTTGAGCTTCTCGAACCCAGACTTGTGAAGTCAATTCCAGCATAAATATAGAGCTAGCGTGCAAGCGACAGTAGCCAGACGCCATGGCGCTAGGGTAGTCACGCCCGAGATAGTTGTCATGTCTCACATGTATAGTTCTTCTTAGGAAAGGCGGATATTTTTGGATCATCTGCCACGTAGAAGTGGAATTTAATTCTAGCGATGCGCTATAGTTCTGCTTGTGAATTGATCTGCGGTATATCTCAACTCCTTTTCACAGACGTGAGTCAGCATGACCTTGCATAATGCGTCACGCAGACTAGAACGGTGGCAGTTCAAGTCCAAAACACTGAGCCATAAATTTCCGGCAGAGATATATGATGCAACATCGTCTGCAGAGCGATGCTATAAACGTAACGAAGGGTCACAGTTGCCAATGAGTACAATTTTTCTTTCTGAATAGCCACTGTGATAGGCACTAGTATAAGATACATTCACGGGCTCCTTTCTGGCTCCTCTTGGCTGGCCATCTACTGACGCCGCATCTGGTTATCGATTATCCGCTTGGTCAATATGCGCTATTACTCATTTCTAGCATTCACATTGGTGAATGTTGCAGTGGCCGAAGAGGTCCCGAATAAGACGTCAGTTACTTGCATATGACTTCTTTCGTGGCATATTCTAACCAATCTGGATAGTGGCAGAGGGTCGGTTGAGACATCTCACATGATGGATTCGACTATTCCCGCAATCACGGCACCCCCCCACAGCAACGCTGAGCGTGACTTTGATAGCTTGCTCTCGTCCTTAGAATTGCTTGCGAGCAAAGCAAGTGGGAAGGGCAGCAGCTTGTTGGATCATGGTGAAACGCTAATCCAGGACAAGGCGTCCGCCATCAGCACAGCTTTCGATGGATCAGAGACATGGATCTCCGACAAGATTGGGGAAGTGAATTCTCGAGTACTGAGTGCCATCAAAGAGGTTGCAACACAACTGAATGAAGGCAGCGATAACAGTGACGCCAGAGGTAGTAGCGCGGCTAGTGCTGGTGTAGATGTCCAGCGAAGCGTCGCTGCGGCTGCGGCGGTTTTGGGAGCCATCTTTATTGGCTTTGTGGCCGCTTGAGCAGAGTTTCTGGCGTAATTCAGATTCTTTTCCGAGGCCCATGGTCATGATGTGATATCCTTCTGACGCACTTGGAACATGTTGATAGTTGATTTGAACTCGTCTATTGTCTTATCCTCATTGAGTGCTGCAAAAAAGACCATGTTCCACGGAGCGTCATAATTCGTTTCCTGGTAAATAAGATGCAATTGTGATCACACATGTACACGTGTATGCACTGTATGTCTATAAAACAACAACCTGGATCTCGATATAGCTTTTGCTTTGGAGAGGCTGCAAGAATCTGGCTATGATGAGAAAATTAACACCTAAGGAAAACTGCATTTATTGAGAGGATTCTATG